CTTTGAATATTACATGTTAATAACTTGATTGGAATTATAACCTTGAATTGACAGTTTGATACTTTGAAAATTTTGAGCCAGCCCTACCCCCAAGGGCTGGAGGTGCTAGTTTCAAATCCTTTTTAGTCTGAAATCTGTATGCTAGATATTGAGTAAGGTGGTTTTATTGTTTTTTGTCACTTTGAATAATATTTCTGTTCATGTTAAAAACAAAATCAACTCTCTGTATAAATATATCAGGTGACCGTTAAGGCCCATGGGCCTCTTGTTAAAATGAAATGTCTAGAAATGGAACTTAATATAATGAGTTTAAAGAATCACATACTTTTTGAACTTAAATCCCATAAGATCTTGATAAATAAGCATAAAAACTGCAAAAATAATATAGACTTACATAATAAAATGGAAAAATGGCTTCTCTTATAAAAAAAAACGTGAACAATTATAATTATACTATAAAGAGGTTTGCAATCCCCCCCCCCAACCACGACCACCACCCTATGTGTGTTTGTGTGTATATATATGGGTATGTGTGTACAGTATATAATTGGTCTCTTGTAAAGAAGTGTCCGTTGTGAAGGGAATTGTAATCAATGTTGTGTTTATAAAAAAGAAAAATTGAATAAAAAAAAAAAAAATACAATGTACCACCACAATCATTTAATAAATTATCACTTTTTCATGTAATCAAGGAACATTTTTCAAATGTTACCCAATGTTTAAAAAAACACCTAATGACTCGGATCACCTGTTGACAAACGGGATATATAGCTGGAACATTTAGTACATAAAAAATCATCACATATCGTTGAAGCATTCTACTAAGTCTTTCGACACTGAAACGTGTTTTGAAATTTATTAGATTTTTTTTATTTTTTTCGTCAATTAAAGCAATTACGAGGGGAGTTGGAAGATCGATTCTACAGTGGTGCTATATCCTGGGCAGAGGTCCTGCCACACGATGCAGCTGCCCTTCTAAAACAGTTCCTGAGGGAGCTACCAGTACCCCTCCTCACCTACGAATACATAGAGGCCTTCGCTCAGGTGGAAAGTAAGTAATCTTATCAACTTCTCAAGGGGCTTACCAGTGTATTCTTCTCACCTACAAGTACATAGAGTGCTTTCTTCAGGTGGAGAGTAAGTAATTTCTCTAATCAGCTTCCTGGGGGTGGGGGATGAACCGTACCTTTCTTACCTACGAATACATAGAGGCCTTCGCTCAGGTGGAAAGTAAGTAATCTAATCAACTTCTCAAGGGGCTTACCTGTATTCTTCTCACCTACAAGTATGTAGAGTGCTTTTTTCAGGTGGAGAGTAAGTAATTTCTCTAATCAGCTTCACAGGGGGTGGGGGATGATCCTGTACCTTTCTTACCTACGAATACATAGAGGCCTTCGCTCAGGTGGAAAGTAAGTAATCTAATCAACTTCTCAAGGGGCTTACCTGTATTTTTCTCAACTACAAGTATGTATAGGCCTTTGTTCCGGTAGCTAGAGAGTAAGTAATTTCTCTAATAAGCTTCACAGGGGTTGAGGGGATGAACCTGTACCTTTCTTACCTACGAATACATAGAGGCCTTCGCTCAGGTGGAAAGTAAGTAATCTAATCAACTTCTCAACAGGCTTACCTGTATTCTTCTCACCTACAAGTACGTAGAGGCCTTTGTTCTGGTAGAGAGTAAGTAATTTCTCTAATAAGCTTCACAGGGGTTGAGGGGATGAACCTGTACCTTTCTTACCTACGAATACATAGAGGCATTCGCTCAGGTGGAAAGTAAGTAATCTAATCAACTTCTCAACAGGCTTACCTGTATTCTTCTCACCTACAAGTACGGAGAGGCCTTTGTTCTGGTAGAGAGTAAGTAATTTCTCTTATAAGCTTCACAGGGGTTGAGGGTCTTTCTTACCTACGAATATATAGAGGCCTTAGTCAGGTGGAGAGTAAGTAATCTATCTAATTAGCGTCACAGGGAGCATAGCTGTACCTTTCTCACCTATGATTCAGTAGAGGCCTTCTTTGGGTCATAAATAAATCTGAGATGATCAGCTTGATCTCAAGTCAGCAGAAAGCATTTCTACTTCTTGTTCAGTTTAACTCATTCACCCCTGAAATTTCATAATGAAGTATTCAAACCTTTGAATGGGAAGAGTTCAAATTTGTCTTGTTAATGTTTGTTTGTTTACGGGTTTATCATCTACATGACTCCACCCATATGGGTTTAGTCTCACTGTTGTAGGTCGGTGCTCTGTCGGCATGAGGGAAGATGCTTTCACTCGGGGAGGGGGGGGAGTTGCCTGTACTAATGTGTCTTCAGAGGTAAACTCATTCACCCCTGAAGACACATTTGAACCCTTCCAATTCAAAGGTTGAAATATTTCAGGGGGAATGAGATAAATAAGCAGAAAACATTTCCACTTCTTGTTCAGTTTAGGTTACGAAAGAAACCAAAGACAAAATCTGAGGCTTTTTGGACCTCCTGTTAAAGTTTAAAAGGAGACACAATATACAAACTTGACTTTCAATACTGTGTTTTAGGTATTAAGGAGAAAAAACTACAGCTACAGGCTCTGTGTTTACTGATCTTGCTGCTGCCACCTGTCCACCGTAACACGCTTCAGGTAAAATTCCATAAATACAGGTAAATCTCGTAATGATATCATTATCCCTCAAACGAATATATATATGAGGGGATATATAGGATTCTGTATGTACATATGTTACACTCTTTGTCATCACTCTAGCAACTTCATTTCTCAACAAAATTTCATGAAACTTCATATGTGTGTTTGTGTTTGGTATGACAATACCTTGAACATTTTTTGCATTTCGGATTTCTATATTGAAGGTCAAGTTCATTGTAACTATTTTTAGAAAAAACTTTGTCATCGCTCAATCGTCTTCATTCCTCAACAGAATTTCATCAAACTTGATACAATTGTTTGCCATGGCAATACCTTTAACAGATGCAGTCGCTAGAGCAGTTACTGTTACATCATTGAATTTTCCATTCAATTCCTCATACATATGGCACACAATGTGTGAATGCGAGGGATTTTGTATCACTTGTGATGCCTTGTTTCATTTTAACCTCTGAATTCTTAACAAGAAACCATACTGTACTACAAATCAGGTGAGTAATTTGATATCACAGGTAATTTGACAAACACCTAGCACAGTATGTATAACCCTTTCACCCCTTAGGTAGACTCTACCATGTATTGATATGGATGAGTCCATTATGGTCTACATTGGTGAAAGAGTTACGTATTTCAAAAAAGTGAACCATTTACATTTCCTTCACCTTCAGCTCGGAAACATAAAACCCAAATAGATGATATAAGCTATTGGTGTCGAAATCAAACGTTTTGTTGAGCTAGCATAATATATACGCTCCTTTCATTATAGAATTGAAATTAACCAGAACTCCTTTTGTTTTTGAAATTGGTAAATTAAGGGGCCAGGTTTTAAGCACTTTTAAAAATAGTTTAGACCAATTTGAACTTTTTGGCCCCTATCATGAACAATAGTCCTAAAAGGTCACAAAACAGCTGTATGATGCAGTGTAGTTCATATGGGCGGATTGGTCGAGTGGTTAACACTCCGGCCTTTCAAGCAGGCGACCGGGGTTCGATCCCCGAAGTCGCCGTACGCATGGAATATTAGAGAAAGTGTTTTTCTCCTGCCCAAACAACTCCAACAATCCAGGTGGAGTATAAAATGGTCTGGGGTAGATGATGCGGTATCTGTGCTGTAGCATTCAAGTGAGGTGGCACTATAAAAGATACTGTTGGAAGCACGGTCCCACTACAAACAGAACACAATACATCTCCAGCACACACACAGGCATACACACATAAGGAGATATTAGCCAGGTGGCATAGGACTAGTAGTTAGCGCCTGATAAGGCAGCTCCTGCGAATTCCTCAATATTGTATTGATTAATATATATGCTAATTGTATTGACTGTATTAAATTGTTTATCTATGTATTGTAAAGCACTTTAGAGTGGCTTATGTTAGCTAGATAGGGTGCTATATCAAATGTTGTATATTTATTTATTTATTTATATGTGACATGCTGTATCGATAGGACCAACCTTGATAGGACTACATTACATATTTCCAACTCTTCTTATTTGAGAAGGAAACTCCCTATTTTTGACCCTTAAAATTAGTATTTTAAATTAGGGAATTTGCAAAACTATTCCTAAACTCTAAGATCTAATGATTCATCTGAAAGAACTATACTCAAAATATGTCATTTAAAAGGATTATTTTGTCTCTTGTGGGGGTATACATGTATTTATTTATATTTTGATATTGAGCATGCAAAATCTATCCGTGGAAATTTCAAAAGGTTGGCAAGTATGTATTCCGTCTTTGCGTACTGCAGAGTTATCTTCTCTGGTGAGCAGGTATTGATGGTTACGTCATTGGTTTGTGTGAGAAAATTACGTGGTTTTCTCAAAAATTGATGACGCTACTCTCACAAACAAGTGACGTAACAATCAATACCTGTTCAAAAGAGAAGATAACTCTGCAATACGCAAAGACGGAATAGAGTGTGTGTATTGTTCATCTTTTAATACATCAATCACTTCCTGTAATTGTAGATACTGTTGCGGTTCCTACAAAAGGTTGTTAGTAAGTGCCATGCAAATAAGATGAGTCTCGCCAACGTGTCCATGATTATGGCCCCCAATCTGTTTCTGGTCTCAAGTAACCACTCAAAGTTCAAAGGTATCCAGGAAGGGGAGATAAGCATGGCAGCCGGAACTTCCAACATTGTCAGAATGTTGATCAAATACCTGGACATTCTCTGGACGGTATATATACATGTTTACAGTATATTGTATACTGGATATTTTCACTCGGTCAAATTTTTGCCCTTTGACTGTAAAATTGTTTTTGCCCAATATTAAATTTGCCCTCCACATTTAATTACTGTGTATTTTATGATGGTTACAACTATCCGCTGTATTGATAAATTCGCCCCTCTTTACGGAGGGCAAAAAAAGGCAAAAATAGAACAGCAGTGAAAAATTTCCCAGTATACAGTAAGTGTGTTGGACATATTAATATAACTATGTGTGCTTTAGAATAAAGGCTCAAGAATGCGAAATTTTATACATTTTTGTTTTTTTGCTACATTAAATGTAAGTATTTCACTAACATTGTCCTGAAATGAAGAAAGTTTGTGAAACAGATTTGTAATAATTTTGAGGGATTTTTTTTTTTTAACAAGGACATTAATTCTGATTAGCAACATACTGATCACTGCATGTGTTTACAAATTAATTGTTTCTGTTTTTTAAAAAAAATTACGAAATATATTTTTATCTCACAGGTGCCGTCGTTCCTTGTACACCAGATGAGACGCCAAAATGAAATAGCTCAACAGCGCAAAGGTAGAGATAAATCTGTAAGTCTATCTTTCATATTTTTTTTTTTTATTTTTTTTTATTGAATTTTAGTGATATTTCAAAACTAGGTCTTAATGTTAATACTTGCTTCAGCCACCTCAAACTGCTTGTTTTGTTAAACCTGGTGCTGACAAAAAAATAATTGTAGATATGATATTAAGTAATATTTCTGCAGGCTATATGAGTTCATTTATGATCAAGATATTCCATAATTATTGTTAGCAATTCATCAGATTTCATTTAAGTAAATAGCTTTCTTGGAAAAATTACATACTGATCCAGCAGGATAGGAAAATATGGAGAACAGAAAACATTTTGATAACAACCTTATTTGTCTATACTTTATATGCATAGATAATGAAATTCCTGGCCAAGAAAGACAAATCGGAGTTGTATAAAAAGCCTCCCATAGTTCACGAGGTAAGTATCATTAAGCTATAGTAACTTTAACCTATGTATTCTTTGGGAAAATAAATGAGACAAATAAGGCTGGGGGGGGGGGGGAATTAACTTTCAACATACATTAACCTATGGCAACTTTAAACTATGTCTTCTTTGGGGTAAAAAAGTTGGGTTAATAAAGCCGGTAAAAGTGCGGAAATTTTCAACTTTAAAGTTCTAAGGCAGCGCGGCATGTTCACAGCCATCTGCTAATAATGGCCGAAAAATTTAGCCTAGACAATTTTGACTCCATAATCCATGTTCGGTTCTGACTAAATGCTCTTACACTCAACCATTCTTTGTAACCAATGTTTTTGAAAATTTGTTGTAGTGACTGTGCACTAAGTATCGTCTTGACAAATTCTAGTCAATTCAAAATCCAATGTGGCCCACACAGCTATAACCTTGAAATCTATATTTAGAACAACTGAAATATCTTAAACCTTTCACCACTGTTGATCATTATGGACTCATCAAGATCAATGCATGTTAGAGTCTACTAAAGTTACATAGGTGTGAAAGGGTTAATAACTAAAACAATATTTACTTCTAATTGCTATGGGCATAGGGTCAAAGGTCAGGGTCACTTCCTCCAAATTGACCATCCTCTTAACCCTTTCACCACTGTAGACCAAAATGGACTCATCCAGATCAATGCATGATAGAGTTTACTAAAGTTACATAGGGGTGAAAGGGTTAAACTCCAACTTTTTTTTGCATACATGTAACGACATGCATTTGGATGCTGTAGACATTGTAAGGTTTATTTATATATCAACACCATGGGCATATATGGTTGTAGACACATTTATTTAACTCATTTTCAAAAACGTTGTCCCAATGTTGCAATTTGGTAATCAAAATCTGTGAATGCTAAAGTAGTATAGTGTCCTGATGTCTGTTTTTTGTATCCCATTTAATTAGCCCACTGAACTCATTGTGACCACTATAAAACCATTCATTGTGACCACTATAAAACCATTCATTGTGACAACTATGAAACCATTCATTGTGACAACTATGAAACCATTCATTGTGACAACTATGAAACCATTCATTGTGACAACTATGAAACCATTCATTGTGACCACTCCAAAACCATTCATTGTGACCACTATTAAACCATGCATTGTGACCTTTATAAAACCATTCATTGTTACCTCTATAAAACCATTCATTGTGATCACTATAAAACCATTCATTGTTACCAATATAAAACCATTCATTGTGACCACTATTAAACCATGCATTGTGACCTTTATAAAACCATTCATTGTAACCACTATAAAACCATTCATTTGTGACCATTATAAAACCATTCATTGTGACCACTATAAAACCATTCATTGTGACCACTATAAAACCATTCATTGTGACCATTATAAAACCATTCATTGTGACCATTATAAAATCATTTGGATGTCTTGATACCTTTAAGTTGTTGTTTTTGTTAACATTGGTCCGTGATTTTGTGTTTTTGATAAACTTGAAGGGTGATTTTGTGTTTTTGATAAACTTGAAGGGTAATTTTGTGTTTTTGATAAGCTGATAGGGTGATTTTGTTTTTGTTTTTGATAAACATATAGGGTGATTTTGTGTTTTTTGATAAACTTGAAGGGTGATTTTGTGTTTTTGATAAACTTGAAGGGTGATTTTGTGTTTTTCATTAACTGATAGGGTGATTTTGAGGAAGGCGTGATACGTGTTCATGCTCCAAACCTGACAAAAAGTTCTACTGCCATCCGCCTGGACAATCGCATGACTGCCGGGCATATAGTAGACAGATTCAGAAACTCCTGCGGGGCCCTAAATCCTGCAAATGGGAGGTAATTATGCTAAAGCCACTGCACCTATGTTTGAATATATATGTAACCTTAAACAGGTGAATGATATACCCTTTTTAGCTTTTCTTACGGAATCAACCTTCATTTGTTAGCCAGAGGGATACACTGAATGGGGGTACACCCTTGTTTACTAAATCAATAGGGTGATGAGAAGACCATATTTACTAATTACAGGGTGATGAGTAGACCATATTTACTAATTACAGGGTGATGAGTAGACCATAATTACTATTTACAGGGTGAAGACCGTCCCTCATTAACGGTCCCTCATTAACTATTAACAGGGTGATGAGTAGACCATATTTTCTAATTACAGGGTGAGGACGGTCCATCATTTACTAATTAATTTGTGACCATTAGACCATAATTACTATTTACAGGGTGAAGACCGTCCCTCATTAACGGTCCCTCATTAACTATTAACAGGGTGATGAGTAGACCATATTTTCTAATTACAGGGTGAGGACGGTCCATCATTTACTAATTACAGGGTGATGAGTAGACCATAATTACTATTGACAGGGTGAAGACCGTCCCTCATTAACTATTAACAGGGGGATGAGTAGACCATATTTTCTAATTACATGGTGATGAGTAGACCATGTTTACTAATTACAGGGTGAGGACCGTCCCTCATTTACTAATACCAGGGTGACTGGTGAGTAGACCCTATTTACTAATAACAGGGTGGGAACAGTATATTGATTGCTAGTTCTAGTGCTAGGCCCTAAATGACAAAAATCATTAAATATTGGGGGGAAAAAATCTGTTACAATTCACATATTTTACAATTTTACTCCCTAGGGGAGACAATAAAAGGACTCTGCAGGGGATCTATTGTGATCCTGACAAAGTTTCCTTTGCAGAGGAGCACACTTACCTGTACGAAACTGGTGGAAATATATGTAAGTATCCTGCACTGGGGAGGGAGCACACTTTTGAAGTCAAAAGCTTGTGAACAAGGTATCAAGTTTCTCGTAATTCAATCAATTCATATGAATTTGTACCAAAATTGATTTCTTATTTTAAATAACTAGTGATGTTATTCACTGGGTTAATTATTATATTAAAGTTAACCTCGATCTTTTGTTTTGCAGGTGAACGATGTTTAGACCACAAAACCAATATGATGGCATTGTACCATGTCAACCCAAATGCAGAGTGGGTCATCAAAACCAGTAATCATAGATAGTACATCTTCTAGCTACCTAAGGCTTACACTAATGAGGAGGTGTCAGAGAAACCAAGCATTGTTCTCTAGGGTTCCCATGGTAACGCTGAGAAAACATTGCTATACAAATTTGCACTGTCAAATCTCCATGGTAACAGTGAGAAAGCATGGCTATTAATTAATGCCAAAGATCGTACTTCCAAATCTCCAGGGCTACCCTGAGAAAGCCTAGTAATCAAAGAAGTACTGTGAAATTTCCATGGGAACAGTGGGAAAGCATGGGCTCAACCGAAGATTGAACTGTCAAATCACCATGGTAATGGCGAGATAACATGGCAATCAACCAAAGATTGAACTGTCAAATCACCATGGTAATGGCGAGATAACATGGCAATCAACCAAAGATTGAAATGTCAAATCACCATGGTAATGCTGAGAACACATGGCTATCAACCAAAGATTGAACTGTCAAATCTGCATGGTAATGGCGAGATAACATGGCAATCAACCAAAGATTGAACTGTCAAATCACCATGGTAATGGCGAGATAACATGGCAATCAACCAAAGATTGAAATGTCAAATCACCATGGTAATGCTGAGAACACATGGCTATCAACCAAAGATTGAACTGTCAAATCTGCATGGTAATGGCGAGATAACATGGCAATCAACCAAAGATTGAACTGTCAAATCACCATGGTAATGGCGAGATAACATGGCAATCAACCAAAGATTGAAATGTCAAATCACCATGGTAATGCTGAGAACACATGGCTATCAACCAAAGATTGAACTGTCAAATCTGCATGGTAATGGCGAGATAACATGGCAATCAACCAAAGATTGAACTGTCAAATCACCATGGTAATGGCGAGATAACATGGCAATCAACCAAAGATTGAACTGTCAAATCACCATGGTAATGGCGAGATAACATGGCAATCAACCAAAGATTGAAATGTCAAATCACCATGGTAATGCTGAGAACACATGGCTATCAACCAAAGATTGAACTGTCAAATCTGCATGGTAATGCTGAGAAAGCACTAGCTGGAATCTGTCGGAGACTGCAAAGTCCGCAATCAACCAAAGATGTTGTCCCTGATTGTGTCATGTTGAGAAACCATAGCAATACCAAGTGCAGTATAATACACATATGGCAATGCTGAGAAACCATAGCAACCGGACACAGTAACCCCCTCAGTTCTGAGGTCAAGTTAACAGATGACACAACACTTGGTCCCTTGGCGCCACTGATAGGGTTTGGATTGGTTTCCATGGTTTTCGATAAAACAAGTCAGTTGGAATCAAAGACTCTAAGAATAAGACATTATTATCTGAGGATTTTGTTTGAATATTTTGATTATAACTACAAATATTACAATCAGCTACGTTAATACAGTTAACCACAGTAAATGAATACAGTCGTCTGTGAAGTTTTACAGAAGTTGGCAGCATGGTGCTTACTTGTAATATTATTCACTTACTCGTGTGAAACCTTTTATCATTAAGGATGAGTACATCACACAAAGACACCATATTCATAAAAATTCTATATTTTTACATTTAACAACAATGGAAAATGAAGTGATAAGTTGTACATGTATGTCAATTACAAACTGACAAGATTACGTCGCTCGAATGGCAAGCTGATATAAACCACGATGAACTCTTAATACAAGTCTGTGTAGTAGACCACTCGTCCTTTAACGTTTATCTGTAAACTTGAAGTGTTTAAACAAAATTTCAAATGATGACCAGTTTTTCTTAAAATTTACGATCATGATCCCATTTGTCTCACTAATGTTTCAAATTATTATATTTTGAAATATCTCATTTTGTCTGTCTTTGGCCTTTCTAGGGACTGGATAAAGAATTTAGGATATACTAGTGGTTTATAACTATATTAATTTACTACTTCCTCATTTATGATAGTCGTGACATTCCTCTGTGCAATATAATATAATGTGTCTTTAAGCCTTCCATGTAAAATGTGCCTCGTCAGATTGTCCCCAAACAAAGCCAAAATGTCATTGCTTGATGTATATCCCCATTTGTTTTTATTAGTGTTCACTGATTTCAGGAGTATCAGGGTAGGGGATCAGGTAGTTTTGGGTAGTGGGTTGGGGTGGGTTGGATTTTAAAGGTCTTAGGAGGGGAGGGGTATTGGAATTGTCAGGGAGGGGAATGTGGGGCGACAGGTTTATGGAGCTTTAAAAAAACTCCCAGGGTTTTTGCTAATTTGTTAATTTCTTCTTCCTTCTTGGGTCTGAACTTGGTCCGCCCAAGTACGGGAGTAGACTCCTGTAATAGGAGTGTAAAACGTCCCGGGACTGTGCACTATGTACAATTTGGAATAGACTTAACATTTTATATAAAAAATAAGGTATTCTCATATAATATGAGTGAATAACATCATAAAATAAAAACATTATTATTAAACATTGTTATATTTAATGAAGCCTTGTTAATTCAGCTATTTTTCTAGTTATCCAACCATCTACCCAGTGCTATAGGGGTTATGTAATCCAGCCACTATTAATCTGGTAATCCTACTATCTAGCCAGTGTTTTAGGGGACAGATTGTCATTTATACAAATAGTCTTGGCAGTAATTGAATTCCCCAGCCACTCTAGTTTCTCCAATATCTACCCAAGGCTATAGGGGGTACATTTTCATTTATACAAAATTGTCCTAGCAGTACTTTTTATCCTTTTATCAACCCAGTGCTATAGGGGGTACATTTTCATTTTTACAAATTTGTCTAGGTAGCAATTAAATTATCAAGACACTGCTAATGCGGTAATCCCACTATACATCAAGTGCTATAGAGGACAAGTCGTAATGTGTACAAAATTGTCCTGGTGCCATCTTACGCTACATGAGTCAGTTTTGCTGAGAATGAGACTGGATTATCAAAGCTACATTTACCAGTGATTTTGTCGTAGTTCAACAGTTTAAGGAAGATTCATAATATGTTATATATATGCAGAAAGTGCAATGTAGTTAGTTTATGTTCAGTTAGGTTATCTGACTAGATATTGTTTTGTTTGTATTAGATATATCTTCCAATTTTAGCGGACTATATATAGTTCCTACCGTGGGTAACAGATTGATCAACACTGTCAGTGTTATAGGGAGTTACCTAGTCATATATAGGGACTCTCTTGTTTAAGTGTATACCTTTGCCCAAAATATGGACCTGCTGTGTTGCCGCTACATAAGACAACCTATGTTGGGACTGTGGCAGCTAGATTGAGGGTTTCTAAAATCTATGTTGTCTACACTGATTGCTAGGTAAAACATTTTACCCTCTCATTTACTTCCCTGTTTCTGTTTCTTTATACTCCCTTATCAATAACTTTTGGTTCAAATGAGTCTTCAGGGTGAATGAGTTAAAAACATTCTCCTGTTTGGATTCCATTCATTCACTCCTGAAATTTCATAATGAACTATTCCACCGTTTGAATTGGAAGAGTTCAACTGTGTCTTCAGGTGTGAATGAGTTCAAATCATTCTCCTGTCTGGATTCCTACCTATTACATGTTTGAGATCTGATCATGTGTGTATGTACGACATGTTTACATCCTGAACCGACTACATAATGTTACATCCTACTTTCAATTTATGCCTTGATGTCTTCTCAGTTTTTGTTTGTCTTTTCTTAATGAATCGGAGTTCCGTTTTTTCCCTTTGTGTTGATGGGTTTGCATGTCTCATATCTTTGTTCGTTAAAACTTATTGTTTTTGTTTATCTGTGTGTTCGCTGACACTGTGGTATCTTGTGTTTTGACTCTGATAGTCTCTCTATGAGCTACTTAATTGTCAATGCATGATCCAAAATATGCTTTATTGACATTTGATAAAAATAGGTAATAAGTGAATAATTTATTAATCCATATGAAGTCAATTGATGACAATTAAGAAGTATATAATAATATATATTTCCAAATACATGTAAATTGTAAAATGTATCATAGGATAATAATATATAAGAAAATGTGATATTGGTATTTAATCATACCGTTGTATTTATTCATTGTAATCGTTTTATTTAGATACGTTACTGCCTCTTCTCTGCTTCATGCAAACATCGCGATATATTCTACCGTTCTGGGTGCTGTATTTATTTTTTAAACCATCCTCAGAATCTGTAAAACTATGCATGAAAGGTTATTACAAATTAGTTACTTTATAAGATTGTAGTCTTTACAGTGGAGATTTTCTTAACTGTTGGACAATATGCTAATTCAATATTTTAAGAGAAACACATATATCAAAGATATTACATGTATGGTTATATGTATAGCAGGTGAATACTATTTCATTAGATTGAATGGTATAGTGTCCTCAAAAAGATCCAAGTTGTTGTGGTAGTAATGTTTATGAAATCAAATAGCAAATAAGAAATGTTTGCACCTGGTTTGCGGCAAACTTGCCGCAAACTTACTGCAGTCAAATCCTGTTGCCAGAAATGGTCGCCAAAAGTCTGCAACAGTTTTCATTTGCCGTTAGTGGCAACGTTCTGGCAATCTTCTGGCAAATAGTTCCAAATTGCCGCAAACACGTTTGCCAGAAAATTGTTGCAAAAATGCCTTAACTAAACATGATACTTTTTTATGAAGATTGGTACAAATGTGTCTTGATTATATTAATTTCTAAACCAAGGACATTGTTAAATTTACAGGTCTGTGTTTCAATATTTTTTATTGCAAGGAGCATGATGAGAGGACCTGGGACGTATTTCATGTTGACATGACGTAAAACGGCCCTATCAATATTGTCAAATTGTTTGATAAATTATAAAAGTTACATTTATGTTTAACCAAAAATGCTATGAATTACATTTTCATGTTCATTATCATATTGTTTGTATGAGTTACATAATAATGTATTGTCTATTAAACTGTTATCAATTCGTAGATGTTTTGTGTTATATATTTTCAGCCCGCCATTATCAGATGGTTAACTGTTTAAATTGCCCTTTTCCCTTTGTCCGTCTTCCATCAAATCTTTCACACATCTTGTTATTGCTATTTCCCAGGAGGAACTGGAGATGTCTTGGTTAGATTTTATGCATTATATGAAGGTTTTCCTTTGTCTTAAGTTGTAATAATAATATAATATACAACATTTAATATAGCACCCTATCTAGCTAACATAAGCCACTCTAAAGCGCTTTACAGTACATAGATATATATACAATTAATACAATTAGCAATACAATTTTTGAGGGATTCGCAGGAGCTGCCTTATCAGGCACTAACTACTAGTCCTATGCCACCTGGCTAATATCTCCCTATATGTGGGTGTGCTGGTAATGCAATGTGTTCTCTTTGAAGTTGGACTGTGCTTCCAACGGCATCATTTATAGTGCCACCTCACTTGAACGCTACAGCAAAGATACCGCAACATCCACCCCAGACCATTTTATATTCCACCTGGGTTGTTGGGAGTTGTGTAGGTAGGAGAATAACACTTTCTCTGAATATTCCATGTGTATTGAGCCCGCCGGCCAACACTTGATGCCTGCGTGGAAGGCCGGAGTTTTAATCATTTGACCTATCTGCTCATAAGTTATTACCTTTTAGATTGATGGGAAGAACAATTATGGCGGCAATCACGAAATTGGATAATTAAATTGTTATCGCTATTTCACGCTTAAGTACTGGATGGATATTCTCATATATAGATTTTCCGTGCTCCTTTAATCCATGAAAGCTGTACAAATGTTAAGAAGACCCTTCAATAAAAAAAAAAAAAATGTCCGCCGGAAGATAGTTGCAGTTTGTTCCCAGAGGAATGCCTCAACTCTTTTGGCCTCTGTCGTGTTTTTTCTTTCGCAAGTTTTTAAAAGAAACTCTCTTTCTTGAAAGAAAAGTTCTCATAATAATTAGGTAGAACGAGAATTCTTCTTTACGTTTTTTACACTGGCTCTGCTAGTTGCTCTATCCAAAGTTTTCTTTATAAACCATTCTTAGGACCGACACTATATACTAAGTACTCAAGATGTGGAGTAAATGCTTTATGGATTTTGATAAGAACTCTTAAGTTCTTTTGATCCAGTCTTGAACCTCTGGCCCCAAGAAGTCATTCTCTCCATTTATAAAACATTGAGTTCCTTTAGCCCAAAGATGTTCAAGACAAAATTAGGTTGAAATTTCTTTTCCTGCATTAAAAGAAAAGATTCTTAAAGACTAATATTGATTTACCCTATAGAGCCTCTTTGCCCCCAGGGAACCACAAGGTCCGTTTATGCCATATATTGTTTCTCTTTGGCCAAATTGTGTTACAATCCCTTTAGCCTTTCTGGAAATGTAGCATTTTATGTTAAAAAATTGACGCTAGACTTCAGGCAGACAACAGCCATGGATGTCACGTCACAATATAAGGTCACTCGCTCCTTCTCGCGAGATGAGCTAATAAATGTTAAATTGGCTTTCCATTTAACCAGAAACAAGATTAAAACTATACAACTCCAACACAAGTTATGTTTATAAAATACATTTTATTTATGTGTTCCGGTAAATTAATTTAATACACAACACATCATTAACAATACATTGCGTATATTTCTACTGTCCAATTACCCAGAAGATAAAACCATGAAATCAGAAAATGAAAAAGATTTAGAATTAAAGCTAAAAGTAAACAAGTCCTTCAAATGATTCCCTTAACCAAACAAAAAACAGTTAATACTGTTACATTTATTACAGACACAGGTGCTAATGCATCAATTGAATTGATTAAACAAATATAGTGCTGGACGACAAAACATAATCGTTCCACCAATGTAAGCAGTGATACTACTGTGTAACACTAGCTATAGCCCTGCTCAAGTCCGAGATTTTTTTAATTTTTTTTTTTGAAAGCTGGGGTGGGGAGGGGTGGGGTGTATTGACTGGAGTTAGCAATCAATTGAAGACCCTTTACCCTGTGGCTTTAGAAATTTTACATATTTTTTTCAAATGGAAACAATGTATTACTTCGTTTAAGGATCCCTGGCCCACTGCACTGATTTTTTTGTAATTACAGTAACCTTCTCTTAATTTCCTTTTGGATGTTACTTTAGTACTATTGTTAATCATTTTGTTTATTTCATTTTTATTTATTTTTTATAAATGTGACCTTTCAGGTATGTGTACTTGCACATACTTTTTCTTCAGAAATGATTTATCACAGCTATAGACATGCCGGAAGAATTTTAACTCATTTACCTCTGAAATTTCATAATGAACTATTCCAACCTTTGAATTGGAGGAGTTTAAATGTGTCTTCGGGGGTGAACGAGTTAAAAGCTTATTTTTCCATTTGAAAAATCTGTCGGATCAAGAGGGTTTGGTCTCATATAGTGAGGAATATTAAGATGTAGCCATGTGCAAAACATATATACAATTCAATATGTAAACGTATTGAGCAAAACTATCCTATAATTACAATACAAGTAGTTATAAGCTTATCAACATTGATACTGGTGTGCATGTATTTGTAATTCAACTTATAGTTAATGTTAAAAAATATACATATGACCTCCTTAATTTGCATATTTAAATTTGAAAAATGCCCGTAAGATTAATATTTCAATATCAAAATACTTATCGAATCCTTGAATAAGTAATAGAAATTGCTGTTTTTTGGAGATACGGATGTATATAAAATAAAACCTGACTGTAAGAAGGAGTATTGACAATATTGTATCTTGATATTATTTTAGCCGTCATTTCCCACTTATATATTAGAGTAATAAAACAGAATATTTTCGCTTTTTTCCTCCTTCATCTTATTTTAACCTGTAATAACATGGCAAATGAAAGGTGGGGAGAAGATGTTATATAGACAGAAAGAAGTACTGGTAAATTGACATGAGTGAATTAAACACTGGTAGCAAAAATGGTTTTAAAATACTGTAGGTGAAAAGGACTAGGGGTGTTTAGGGTCATTTCCGGTCCTATCATGGATTTAGAATGAATTGTAATATTCGTAATCTGGAATACATGAAGCACTGAAATATGAAATTTCAAATCATTCAACATTCAAGATATTGCATAACAAAGAAAGGTAAACAAAACACATTTTCACAATAAAACATGGTAATATTGTCTATTATGTGCAATTTGCCATTTCGAAGCAAATTAACTAAATGCTGTTCAATTTTTGAAAACAACTGCATGCAACAAATAAATATCATAGCACAGAATGTTTTGGTTCAAACATGCGGAGGCTTTCATTTCTGCATTCCTACTGTCCAAAAAACACCATTTTTTGGCTATTTTTGTTGCTATGGTGGAGCATCTATGCATGCCCACAACAAACAATCTGCACCAGGAATGGTAGCCACACAACATGATGTTTATAACAGAAATTGGAAAATCAATTCAAGTTGAAATGTTTACTTTTTATGAGGCCAAAAATTACCCTTAAGGCCCCACGACCTTTGGCATTGTGACAATACTCCAGAAGTACATTGATTGAAAAAATCAGGAATGCAACTTAAATTAATGAAAGATTTACAATGTTCCTGATTAAATATAAAGCAAGTTTTAAGGGTATTCAAAACATGCAACTTCCTGCTGTTGATTTTGGCTTATACGTTATGAGGATGAAGACAATATAAAGTGATTGACCTGCAAACAGAACGTTTTCTGACAAAACAGTAGGACTGTCACAATATATTGGAAAACAGGTATATTGCAATACAGGGGTATATTGTATCGTACCACATTACAGAGATGAAATATTGCTGTATCACAGTATTTTTCAAAAGCAAATTTCTATGTATCTGCTTGGTGTTTTAACTTTGCAAATTACTACAAATTCCAACAGATATGCCAACAAGCATCAAGCAGGCTTTTAATAGTTAAAATTTTGTAATCGATGGTTGGTTTGACAAAAATCTTATATCTATGTAATCCATATTATATATATGATTAAGTTTGATAGCAATATGACCTCAACTTAATATAAAATTGAGCACATCCTTCCTATGACAATATATATATATTTATATATTCATTCTGTATTGCAATATATCGTGATACACCCTTGCTGTATTGTGACACCCTTACAAAACAGTGATTTATTCATGCTTGCTAACTCTACCTATTCTGGAGGGAGATCCTCGATATCAGACCCAAAAATGCTAATTTAGCATTTTCAACCAGTGAATTTGCTAAACTATTCCTATTGCTAAGATCTGATGAGTTCATCTGAAAGAACAGCTTAAGAGGTGTCATTTAAACGTGTTAGTTCTTTCCAGGGTGTAGGTATATATACACATTTTATTTATGCTTTTTAAATTCTGAGCTTGTGCATTCTCCCCCATGGAAGTTTTAAAAAAGTTGGCAAGTATGATAATGAATTGCAACACGGTTTTGGGATGTAGTAAGCTCCTTAACGGTGACATGTTTTTCTCCCACCCTTCACAAGTGTGTCACCCATTTTAGCCGGGAAAGATCAGCTTGTGATCACCCCCTAGGGGGAGATAGCCTCGTCACCCCCTAGAGGGAGATAGCCTCATGCTGATTAGCACATGTTCAAATGTGACGTCATTAAAACGTGTCACCGGTAATTGTGACGTACGTCATTAAAAGTGAATGACGATATTCATACCCCACTTGTGCTTTTGTTTACAAACAGACTACTGTCGGTGGAGTTGTGACTAAAATAATATGATGGGAGAAAAATAATCATCCCCTACCTTGAGGGTGTAACAGAGAAATCTCCAACCCTAGGGGTGATATTGTTTGGTTGTCTAACCCTTGTCAGAACCTCAGGTTAGATAACCTAAAAGCATCACCCCTCAGGTTGGAGATTTCTCTGTCACACCCTCAAGGTAGGAGGAGATTCTATTATTCAAGGGTTAATTATTGTAATGTCACTATATATATAAATGGTGGTCCAATACATGTATGATAGTGGTCAATTTTTTTTTATATGACACCAACGATGCCTGTCAAACGTGACAATTTTAACAAGGGTCAGTTTTTATTGTGATGCTATAACGCAAGACAAATGTGACAAATTGAAAGAAAGTTAACTTTACAGCATCAAGATTACACAAATTACTGTTTACCAGGAAATCGTTGCCCGGTCAAACTTTCGCCCTTTTCCCGTGAAATCAGTTTCGCCCATCATTAATTTCGCCCTTCACATTTCGTTGCTATGTTAATTATGTTTGTAACATATATCCATCGTAATGCTAAATTCACCCTCATCACGGACGACAAAAAAGGCGGAAATTTAACTGCACTGAAAATGTCCCGATAAACAGTGTACAATTATCATTGAACACATTTTATAATATATATTATCCACACTTTAAGGTGATGTGATGGTTTGGCTATTTATACTGGCTTTTTTAAAAATTCATATATCTCACAAAATGATGATGAAACGAGACAATCACACACAAAAAATTGAAGATAAAACGAGACAGCACAATCTGATGATTAAACATTAAGACAATTTTTAACTTAATTACATCATTTTACCTATCGTCTGTATACACGAAAATACTCTATAAATCTTGTAGCTTTACTCTATCAATCTTGCAGTATTTTTTCTTTTTTTTATCTGCAGATCATAATCGAATTAAAATATTGAAATTAATCGATAAATCAATAATATTTAAATCAGTTATAAATCTAGTGGCCTTGTCCAGACCGGTTTTGACCTGTTATGCTCTATTGTATAGCTAGGCACATGATTATTTTAAAAATATACTGAAATGTTTATCCATGTATTACGATAAAATATTGTTATAAATATTCTTTTAGGACGGAATTTCTCATTCAAATGCTGAATTCCAATCTGGAATTTTAATCATATTATTTCATAAACTTACAATATGTATCACAGTTGTTGTACTGATTCTGAATAATAATATCTGTGTTCCAATTAATTCAGTCACTTTTTAATTCGAAAAACGAAAACTGTAATGGAGATATCACAATAACAGCTAAACAATTTGACCTCACACACCTTGGCCAGCATTTTAGCAGACATCGAAGCACATTAAGGTATCAGCTAATTACGTAAGCTCTTTTCTCAGAACTTGAATAAAACATGAATTACAAATAAACTGAGAAATTGTCTATCGTCTACCCTCAATCTGGACTCGGAGCATTCAGTAAGACTTGTTTTATGACATTGGTATACAAGTCTTCAATGTTGGGTTTTTAATTAAGTGATTTCTGATAACATTAAGTACTTACTGTTTGTAGAAACTATTAAGCTATATTGAAAATGAATTCTGTTTTCGGATTTAAGAAACAGTGTTTCAATCCACAAAATCTTTATAAAAGATGACTTTGTCAAATGTTTAAGTACTACCTACAATAACTATGGCAAACAATCTCATCAAAGAATACATGTAAATAATTGTAAAGATTCTTTCAATTCTTTGGTTTTTAGTATATATATGAAATCAATTTTACACTGTCAATGGCAAGCTTCGGACTATGATAGCGGAAAGTACACTATCATTAATAACTCTAATAAACATGTACCACAATATCATACGCTTCTACACTTACTGTCCTTGTGGTCGGGAAACACAATTTGTTGCTTCCACGAGATTATCCATGTTTCATGAGTGAGGCTCTTGGCTTTTAACTCATTTTCTACAAATGTCCAAATAAGTGAAAGATTACCTGGGAAACTCAAACTCATGGGAGAAAATATTATGATTTATTGCCCGGTCATGTGATCAATATAATCCAATCAGACACCCTGTTTTATAAATAAGGCAATAATAGTAGTATGGTATTATCATAACAGTTTTATCAGCATTTTGCTCATTTAACTACTACACTGTAACTACACTAAACGTAGACAAGTTATCATTATGTTTGTTTAATTACGTATATAAAAATTATCACAGAATAAATGTAAAAACATGTGAACAATGATAATCATTTAACTTGATAAAAATCAGTTTCTACTATTTTTTGTCTTTGTATTGACAAGATATATTGAGCTTAAACTTCACCTCTCATTTTGATCACAGGGACCTGAGAATTTGTTAAAGCTATATTTGAACCTAAACTAAGGTGTTTAGAGTAACTTTACCTGGGTTTTTTTTTTGGGGGGGGGGGTCATTGGGGGGGGTATTTTTACCGAAAATGATCTAAACCCGCCAAACGTGTAAAATTACTCTAAACACCTTAGTTTAGGTCCAAATATAGCTGTAACAAATTCTCAGGTCCCTGTGATTTTGATGTGTAACTACAATCAAATGTTTATCAAGTTGTCGTAATAGACATCTAGGTGGTTATGTGGTAATCAAGCATACATTTCTATATACCAGGCCAGTCCTGTATACTGGGAAATGTTTGCCTTTTGTCAGTAAAATCCATTTTTGTCCTGCGTTGATTTCACATTTAACAACTAAGTTTAATATGTTGTTTACTAATGTCTGCTATAATGCTAAATTTGATCATTATGGGGGGTGGAAAAGGCGAATACTAAACTGCGGCAAACATTTCCTGTTATACAAGTACTACAAAATTATGTATTATATTGGAGGGTGGATAAAGTGTACAAAGCTGTTTTCACTTTTTTTCTTCTAAATAAATGTAATAAAGGTTCCAGAAGAAAAATAATAAAGCATGCAAAAGCTAAGCATTGGTAAGATACAATCGTTATATTAATACAAAAAATATCATCATACAAGAACATCATACAAGAACTGCAAGTTCTATATAAATTGAAAAAAAAATATCATAATGTATGAAATATCAGACTGTATGTAACACAAAAGGTTGTGACTTCTGTTAGGTGATAACATCAACTGAATTTAGGTAGCAAGAAAAATATTCAGGTATGTTAAATAAAAGTTCATAATAATTGGAGGTTCTTGTATACCGCTTTATCACAACCTAGTTCGTAGGTCATCTCAAAGCGGTTCACAAATTATTATCCGTGGTTATAGGGCCTTTGCAACCAGCCAATATCTTTCTCAACTCCCTGGGGAGCATACAACCGGTACTGCCATTTCGGCGCTCACAGCTAGCATTCAACAATTCTAGCACTGCCCAACCACGTACTCATTTTACAGCTGAGTAGACTGGAACAAGCAGAGTAAAGTATCTTGCTCAAAGTTACAATACAGTGCTGTGCCTTGACATGAACCCGCAACCCTTCAGTCACAAGCCTGGCGTCCTACCACTAGACACTGTACATGTGTACAAAAAATCAACGCACGACTCTTTTTGTTTTTAGAATATAAGTTCATACAGTCTAACATTGGAAATCATTTATCCAGCTTGAGGACATAATCAAGTTTGTGAATTTAAAGCTTATTTCAATTCTTGGATGATAAATTATTTTGGCGAAAGCATGTAAACAAGAGAAAAGATAAAATAAATATTATGCAAATGTTGTGTACACGGTTTATATTAGAAAGCATTACTTGACATGTAGTAACTTTCTTTTTAAATTAGCTTCTATTCAGAATAATTATCAAAATTACATTGTTAAGTATAAAAAATAATTAAAAAAAAATGAAAGACTTTCCATTCATTTCATATGTTTATCACTATATTGGTATTTTCTACATTCTTACTGATTTTTTAAATAGATCTCTTTCATCGAAACATACAAATTCTACATACTGCTAATTTTCAGGTGGTTGTCTCGGAGTGTTATTTGTGTATAAAAGTTTGTTCTACAAAACATGTATTCATTTATTGCTATAACAACAGGGAGGTGGAGACCCAACGTCCCTACAAGGAAGTCAGTTCCAAAGAGGCGGTAGGGATCCTGGGGTGGATACCTTAATGGTGTATTCAACAGTGCTCATCAGGGAAAGCCGAGCAACAACACCACTGCTGAAACCGGTACCGGATTCTGCAGTGTTGATGCTCATTAATTTTATTTTCCTTGATTGCTATGGTTTAGTACCCATTTCAGCACAGTACTCTGTTCTGTAATCAAGCTAATTCAACAATTGTTCGTTTTTTCATTGTAAGTAATCTGTAACACGTACAAGTTGAATCATTCAATTCTCAATGTGTGCTAGCTCTGCAAATATTTCATTTTACCGTACAAATAACTCTCTGATAATAATATTCTAAATTCTAATTGAACCTGGTGGGATTTTTCTAATAAACAAATTTACTTTCTTTTAAACTGAATCTAGGCTACACAAAAATGTATTAACAAATATTCTATATTTCATCATAGATGGACATTTTATTAACTATCTTTATTCCAAGGACATTCAAAAATATTTGTAAAAAAATAAATTGAAAAATTTCATGTTTGTTGGAAATTCAAAAAATAATAATAATGGAGCTTTGATATTAATTGTACTTAAAATCGCAGGTAACAGTAATTTGCATAGTATATAAAGATTACACAAACAACTAGGAATATTTAAATAGTAGGTACATTTAATAGTAATTGTTACTTATACACAAAGTCTTGTACAGGGCCACTTTTCTTTATTGCGATCCAAACAATTGAACCGTTTGGACCAGAGGTGTTTGTTTATAACAAAAGGTCGGACCTAGTGTAGTAATTCGGATGCTGCTTTCAGACGATCCTTGAAAAAGCCTGGTAAGGCCTGCAAACATTTGTATGTCTGCCAGGATTTATACCCAAAAAAGCTACCTTTAAAAACAAGACAAACCTGTTGTTCCGCATATTCCAACAAGCCTCATATCTTCTTACAATACCTACTATAGGGTCGTTCATGTTTATCGCATGCCAAACAGCTGAACAGGTTCGACCAGAGATGTTCATTTATGAAATAGGGCCGGACCTTGTGATTTTATGGGTTTCTTTTCTGACAAGCCTTGGCAAAGATTTTCAAAGCCTGCTTTAAAATCTACAGGTCCATCAGGTTTTACCCCTGATATATTACATTAAAAATAGACAAACCGTTTGGTCCACATAAACAAACAGGCCCCAGGCCGGTCAACCAACACAAGCAAAAAATCAAGGGGAATAACCCTGACCAAGCAAGCGAGCAGCAAAGCAGTCAACTTTCAACAATATAGGATTATAACGAACATCTCCATGTAACACCATGTCAACACATTAATTGTATAATAACTTGTGTAGATTATCACCATGTATTCTAGTGTTAATTATCATGTATACTTTACACATTCAAACTTCCATAAAATAAAGCATTCTTACAAATTCAACCCCATCAATTTCTACAATCAATATCATGAATAGTCGTCACAATCACAATACAAATGAGTGTGGTACATGTGATGGTCAATTTTCATCTAATGTTCTGCAAAAAAAATGAAAAAAAAAATGAAAAGTCTTTTCTTGTAAACATGACTTAAACATGACTTGGTTTTGAATTTTCAACATTTTATCCTTTACTTGAATATCTATTCCAATAATTATGAAATATCTTAATTTCTACAAAAGATGAAGTCAGTGAAGAAAAATTTAACCATTACAGCAATTTGATGTAGAACATGTGTATGAATCTGTTTCTAATTCAAATATCACAAAACCTGGCTTACACATAAATCAGTGCAATTCTCACATTTCCTAAAAATCGTACCACAACAGAAATACTAAATGTATCTCGCTGAGGCTAAAACGGTCTACTGTCTACTGAACTAGCCGGCGGGACTCAATTTCTATTGATTAATTATCAAATATTTAACAGATTCTAGAAAATGTTATTAAACTATTCTCATTTTCAAATTTGACCTTAATGGGAGTTTCTGGAGTTTACTCGGAACAACTCAGTGAGAGTTTTATACCGTAATACAATATGTTCAACACACACTTATCAAATTTTTTATTTCCAAGAAAAAAGTCAATCTGGACATAACTTGGCCCTTAAAAATGAAAGCTTAGATGTTTCGGTAACAGTAGCATTTAAGAATGAAAAATGCACTTACACATCATTAACATATATGTTTAATAAACTTCAATACTTTTGTATTCATACTCTGCTGAAATTTTAAATGGCAATTTTGTTGGTATTCCAATATATCAACAAATAAACTGAAAACTGTAGTAGTTTAGTAAAAACACCTATTTTCCTGTTTCGATTTTATTTTCATAAGTAAAACAAAAATATATTGTTACTGCTGCCATTAGTTTTCTCACAATATTTTTCAGATCATTTCCCAAACATCTAGCTGAGCTAGATTTGACACCTGACCTACCTGATATAGACTGAACAAATATATATGAACTATGACTTAGACTACTGTTTATCACGTAGTAAATAATCTGACCAACTGGACCAGAGTTGTCTCTATATGAAATAGGGACGGACTTGAACCTAAGGTCAAGTAAAAGTGATTTATCTAATTTAAGGCCTGTATTAAACAATTTACCCGAATTATGTTGCATTTATTTTAAAGTAGATAAACTACTTCTTCTGCGTAACTGAAAAGACCTCTGATTTTTTTTATATCTTATTTCAATGCTTAGATTTTGTACAAGTTATTTTGCTGCGTAGATGTTTCATAAGTTGTTTACATAAAATAGTGTTTTATATCTAATTTCAATTTGTAGATGTTTTACGAGCTATTTCCATGCGTAGATATTTCACAAGTTGTTTACATAAAATAGTGTTTTATATCTTATTTCCACGTGAAGATATTTCCGATGTTGCTACCATGTTTAGATGATTCATATATTATCTACATAAACCATGTTCTATATTCTATTTCCATGTGAAGGTATTTCCAAAGTTGCCTCCACACATAGACTTTTCATGGTTATTTCCATAAGTAGCTCACCAACACTTATCAGATTGGGGTTAGGCCCAGTCTTGTTTCCTTATCTAGCTGTGGATGCCAAAAGTCAACAATTAACACCATCCTCGGTTTATCTCCCTTGTGCCAGACCTCGTGTTCAAACGAATCGTCAAAAACAAACACTTTGCCTTCTTGCCATTCCCTGTAAACAAAAAACGGAGCCTATCATACAAGGGTGTGTGATTTGTCACCACAGTGAACAGTGAACCCTCCTTTCACCAAGATGGTCGAGGTTTAACTGATATGTACATACAATAATATGAAAGAACAAGACTTATAAGCAGATCTAACTGGTACATAAAGTACAGGAACTATTTTATAAATTTGGAGACAAGGATTGTTTGTTTGTGTTTTACGTCCTATTAACAGCTATTGTCATTTAAGAACGTGCCATGATTTGGTGGTGGAGGAAACCCTGAGTATTCGAAGGAAAAGCACTGACCTGCAGCCAGTACCTACTGACTGCCCCATATAGGCTTCGAACCCTGCGACCCAGTGGTGGAGGGATAGTGATAACCACTATATATACACACACACACACACACACACCTGGTAATATGGCATATATAGCAGTGTTTACCTTGTTTCATTGACGACTCGGATTTTCGGCCCAGGGGGCACCACTAGTCCCAGGTGGGCACGAAGTCGACAGTTTGTCGGACCACAGTGAGGCCATACATGGACACCTGGCTGCATCATAGAAAACTTCACCTGCAAGTCAATTAAGTGTAAGGTCAATTTACAGTAAAAGTATTCTATGGGTTTAACTTATAGGAAGAATGCTTTCCTGGTAAATAAACAGGCACATTCATTGTTATACAGGTAAATAGACACATAGACTGTTATACAATTAAATAAACAGGTAGACTTTTTATACAGGTGAAAGTGACAGTACATGTACATTGTTATACAGTACAGGTAAAAGTGGCAGGTACATTGCTATACAGGTAAAAGTGGCAGGTACATTGTTGTACAGGTAAAAGTGGCAGGTACATTGCTATACAGGTAAAAGTGGCAGGTACATTGTTGTACAGGTAAAAGTGACAGGTACATTGCTATACAGGTAAAAGTGGCAGGTACATTGCTATACAGGTAAAAGTGACAGGTACATTGTTATACAGGTAAAAGTGGCAGGTACATTGTTATACAGGTAAAAGTGGCAGGTACATTTTTTTACCAGTAAAACAGACGGTTAGACTTTGTAGTGAAGTTTTTTTACATTGGACAATTTACATGAAATGTGTACTTATTATTTAGATTGTTGAAGGTCAACCAAAAGTGAATTAATTCTCACCTGGCCACGACGACATTCCTTAGCATCAGGTATTTGATCAATGAGTTCGCAGGTCTTTGGCGCCTTGTTACAATTCTCCTTGTCTTTCCGTCCTGAAATGAAAATGAAACCTTTGTTGTGCGGAACATTTCTGTGATGAGGGGGTTTATTTCAAGCTGTGATTGACATATATATATCACCTGTCTGAAATACTGTATTACTTAGTAAACCAACTATGTGTTAAAGGCTGAAGCTAGTGCTCCCTGTCTATACTAGTATTTTATAAACTTAACACAAAAACCAATTTTTAATTCAAAAGTTAAGGTCGAATGTATTGAAGTACATGATGGAAGATGAAAAATACTTATCTGTATTACTTTCAAGAATCTATAAATCAACTATGTGTTAAAGGCTGCAACTCCCTGTCTATACTAAAGTTTTAATAAACTAATACAAAATCTATTTTATATTCAAAAGCGAAGGTTGAATGTGTAAGATGAAAAATACTAAACATAAAAAAAGTCAATTTTAAAATCATCTGCATTTTATGTCACTAGAACACTGACACGTCAGCAAGGGTTCTGCCTTGTACCTGACCATACCTCTATTATACAATGTGAACTGCTTCCAGTCTCCGGTTTCCCGAAGATTTTCCTCCTCCGGTACAAAACTTCCGGTGTTAGCATCTAACAGATTCAAAGCCTCGTCTCTGATGACCTTCCAGTTGTCCTCTAGCAACTGTAGAGGTTGTAAAAGATCAAAATGAATGATGACATGTAATAACAATAACATTATGCATCAGTTCAGGTGAATACTATATACCAGGAAATTGCTGCTACAACTTTCCCTCTCTTATCAGCAAAGGGCGATTATTTTATAGGGAGATAGTTTCCTGGTATACAGTAGTGAGAATGTGTCCGAAAAAGTCTAGTTATCTCCCTTATCTCCAACCAGAGAAACTACAGTAAGGCCGTTTTCGTTTAACAAGGTCAAAACGGTTGGACCAGTTTTGTTCGTTTATGAAATAATGACGGACCTATTAATCAGATGCTGCTTTCATACAAGCCTTGACAAAGTCTTGCAAGACCTGCATAAACATCTGCAGGTCTGCTAGTATTAATACCCAAAATGTTACATTTAAAAACAGACCAACCGCTGTTCCTCATAAACGAACAGGCTCTAAATGTGTACGGGTATTCGTGTAATAAAATATGCACTTTCCGACATCGCAGCAATCATCCTTTTACTTTTATCAGGTACTTTTCGTGATTAGAAAATAATAAAATTGTGTGTACACTGTCGAAATTACACCTGATTGACAATATATAGTATACTAATAGGAACATGATTTTATAATGAGCGTGTTTGTTACTAAGCAAAGAATACTGTTTAAATTGTAACAACCTTGATATGTTTGGTATATCCAGTTTCCTCGGCTGTCCACCAAGGACGACTTGTCAACGTCCAGACATTATAAAGTGACCGCTGATCTGCTGACAGGAAGAGACCTTTAGCAGCTCCTTCGTGGTAGACTTTGTACGCCTGAAAAATGTCAGTAATATGTCAGATTTCCCTCCATACAATACCAAACTCCTTGATACCAAATGTTCATAATAATACTAGAATACTGACAGGTCAGCAAGGGCCCCGCTGTATGCCTGACAGTGTATCTCCCGTATATATAATATTAATAATAATAATTCAAGGTTTTTAAATACTGCTTTATCACAACCTAGTTCGTAGGTCGTCTATCACTGGTTCCGTTTGCATGGAGAAGGAAAAATCACATGGCCAAGGATACACTGATATTTTATTACATAATACATTACAGTAGTCAGCTTTGTTAAATTATCACACTTTGAGCTTGACTGTTATTCTAAGGATTAAACCCCCTCCCCTCTCTCTATCTCTCCCCCGTCTCTCTGTCTCTCTTCACTACCTCTCTGTCTATCTCTCTTAATTAAAGCCAATGTAAATTTATAAGTATTATGCCACTTTGAAAACTTGTATTAATATATTGTAGGGAAAAGGATTAATATAAGTTGTTAAACTTATGCCCAAATCCCATTGTATATAAATTACAATAAAATATGTTTGAATAAATAAATGAAGTCCAACCTTCTTTTTTTGACAGTTTGTAATTCTATGTTTCATTCGGTGCTATTCATTTACCTCTTCTGTGATGTCTGTCCTCTGTAGTGCCTCCCCTAAATGGAAATAGAATCTTCCATCCTCTGTCCCTGGCTCCCCTGTTGCTATCCCCTCCTTAAGCAATGGGATAGCCTCCTTGAAGTTGAGATCGGAAGACTTGAGTATGAAGCCGAGATGAACCTTAGCAAATCCGTCGGTGGGATGGATGGAGATAACCTAAAGGGTGACAAATAATCATATCAAATCAAAATACTGTATACCAGGAAATTTTCGCCCGGTCAAACTTTCGCCCTCTCCTGGTGGAATCCATATTCACCAAGTATGAACTTTGCCCTGGACATTTCGCATCTTTGCATAATATGTTATTGATAACTGTTCACTTAAACGATAAATTAACCCTCGCTACGTATGGAGGAGGAAATAAGTGAAAAGTAAAATTCATCAAATATTTCTCGGTATACAGTTTAGTATACAGTATATAGGTTAAGATAAGTGATCATATTGCTTCCAAACACATATATAGAGGTGTCATTGTGTCAATTTTATCCCAAATATGTCGCGAGGATCCCAAATGAATCCCATTAACTTCAATTTAAGATGAAATAGAAGTGACATTTGTCAGAGTTACTATATAATATATTAGGTTTCCTTCTTTCATAATTAATAGATCACAAGCATGTTTTACGCAGTCTTGATTGTAAAATAAAAATTCAAAAAAACATATCACTTTCAATGTTGAGTTTAGTAATTAAGAAATGTGCTAATTTGGAGGCAAATTGCAAAGGATGGGGAGGGAGAAAGGGGATAATTTGACACTCTTCTCAAAAGTTCTCAAACAAGGTTGTTACACAGAAATGTCTTTATATTGTATTTCTGATCTATAGAGAGATAACCCAAATAAGCCCTTGTTTCAACAGGAGGAAATTTCAAACAATGACACCCATCAAAAATATTTTAAATTCGATTCCAAATTTGAGAGAAACAATCCAGTATATAGCTATGCGTGCTTAGGCTCTACAGGACCCATAAAACAGCTGGGAGTTATATTGTACGATGTGTTAGATCTAAGCAGCTGGTCTTGATAGATTTTTGTCAACAATGTTAAACCCAAGGTAAAGTCTAGAAAATATTCAAAGCAAAATCTCCTGTACCTATTCGTAACCTTGAGGAGGGTTAGTCAAAAATAATTGTGATTTGGCAGTGATTTTTTAAACTGATTTTTGTATCGGCAGCGATTTTATCAACTGATTTTTGTGTTGGCAGTGATTTTTTAAACTGATTTTTGTGTTGGCAGTGATTTTATCAACTGATTTTTGTGTTGGCAGTGATTTTATCAACTGATATTTGTGTATGTCGCATGTGCCGAGATAAGATAATAATAATAATAATTTGAGGTTCTTATATACCGCTTTATCACAACCTAGTTTGTAGGTCATCTCAAAGCGGTTCACAAGTTATTATCCGTGATTATAGGGTCTTTGCAACCATATCTTTCTCAACTGCCTCGGGAACATACAGATACATTAACAGCTGATCATGAGTAGACTGGAACAAGCGGAGTCAAGTATCGTGTTCAAAGATACAACACAGTGCTGTGACTTGACTCAAACCCGCAACCCTTTGGTCAAGAACCCGACGTCCTACCTTTAGACTACAGTGCCTCCAAAATTAATGACAAAGAGTACATTTTTTCAATTGAGATAATATTCATATTCAACTAAAGATATCTGGCTGCCCCAGTAGGTAAGAGCTATAAAGTAAATTGTCGCAGTGCACCGGTTAGAACTAACTTGCTTATGCTAGATAAGGCTAAGTGTATGACCTGTCAGGGTCAGGGGATGCTGAACTGTATTTCATGCCTGTTTTCATCTGATAATGATTTAATATGATTTTGCACAGTACCATTGATATTTGTCAGTCCCAGACCAGGCCTTTGAGATAGACCCACATCTATGTTAACGTTTGAATTCGAGAAAATGAGGGTTACAGCAACAGGTTTTAACTATTTTTTAAACTCGGAATACAGCTTTATTCTCATCGACCCCTCCCCCCTTCCAATCCCTGCCCCCAATACTTGTGATCTCTGTCTCACCTCCCTAAAAGCGTTCTTGGCAGCCACCATGTTACCTATGAGAATGTAACTTAAGCCCAGTTGGTTTCGTATGTTGTAGTCCTCTGGAAATTTCTCCACCAGGTGGCGCCATGTCTTCGTAGCTTTGTCGCCCCAACCTGACGGAATTAAAAGCAATATGTCAGAATACAACATAAAGCTGTGATGATACACAAGAGTTAGACTGTCCCAGACTTTTCTCTTACCCTGGACTTGTGTGTCCAGATATTTAAGTGAGACATCCTTGTCTAGGTTTGAGACAGTTCCCCGGTCACAACAATTTTATGACGTCATATCAACAATACATTGACGTCACATCAACACTAGATGATACGGAAATCAATCAGACTGCACATTTCAGTGTAAAGATTTCTTAATACAGACGAAAATCAATCTGACTGCATGATTAAATGTAGAGAACTTTTTATCAGATGTTTATCAACACTTATGCAAGGTTAATGAAACCATTCATAATTCATATTACATGTTTATATCCACTTCATTTATTTTACAACGTTTATTTAAAACAAATTATTTCAACTTAAATTTTAATCAATCTTGCTGGGCTGGATGCTAGCGTGCAAAGAGTCTTTATGTGGAAGAAAACCGGAGCACCCTATATGTCCTAGGCTCGGTTATAAGGGGAACAGGGACGTAAAGACCTGTCAATCAATCATCAATCAAAAGCACCCAGAGAAAATCCATGCAGTCGGGCAGGTGACCCCATATCTCTCCACGTCCCATCAGGGAATCGAACCCCGGCCGCGTTGGTGAAAGGCACATGTGCTATCCATTGCACCACCCGACCACACATTTCTGTTTCTATAGTTCAGTTAACATCATTAGTTACTAACACATCAAAAAGTATTTATGCAGAGACTGTATACAGATATCAGAGATGATAGAGGTCATATAGAAACATTATTTCTACATGACCGAAAGAGCTCGCAGATCAGCAAAGTGGGGGAGATATATCAAAAAGTACCTACATGGGAGAAATTTTAAAGAGAAATTTCTTTACTGTATGACAAGGCACTAAGCTAGGTATTTCCTTACATAATGATGTTTTACGAAATATGAAAAATACAAAATAAAAATAATGATATGTTTTACAAAAACATGGAGAAAACCCCCCAGAAAACCCCCCAGAGAAGAATATATTTGTTTGAAATTTGATTTCCCGATCTTGAATTTCACTTGTATTTAGTCTGTATAAACAAGAACGTCCCATTGCCTAATCAAGGTTATATCTATATTGATAAGATTAACACTATAAAACAACATATAGAATGGGGGTGATCATAGTTTTGTACTGATTATTGATTGTGATTGAAAATCAATTAATTACACACATATTACATTTAATCAATGGTGAACTTCCATATTCAATTAATCGGTTGAAATTATTTAACGTTAATTATTTTCTGTATATTTCTACTTGTCATCCAACTAACATGCTACTTTGCCAATGGTTACGAGGTACGCAATAGATTTACACTAAATAAGATTTAAACTTAAAATATGAAGCTGAAGTGTACATTGCAAATTTACATTGCAAATCCTAACACTAAACTATATACTCAACATTGAATATATTTCTAAAGAAATAACAAAAGTTTGTTTATTCTAATTATAATCAATAATCATTCATGAAAAGTCTTCAGGTAATCACTGATGACTTCTCTTCCAATTCCCAACACTAGGTGACAACAACTTGGAGTGTACAAACAAGACTGACCTCTGTACTGTTAACAAGACTGACCTCTTAATTGCTAACAAGACTGGCCTCTTTGAACTGTTAGCAAGACTGTCCTCTGAACTGTTAACAAGACTGACCTCTGAACTGTTAACAAGACTGACATCTGTACTGTTGACAACACTGACCTCTGTACTATTAACAACACTGACCTCTGTTCTGTTAACAAGTCTCATCTCTGAACTATTAATAAGACTGAGCTCTGTACTGTTAACAAAACTGACCTCTGCACTTTTAACAAGACTGACCTCTGAACTGTTAACAAGACCGACCTCTCAACTATTAATAAGACTGACCTCTGTACTGTAAATAAGACTGGCCTCTTTGAACTGTTAACAAGACTGACCTCTGTACTGTTAACAAGTCTGACCTCTGTTCTGTTAACAAGTCTGATATCTGAACTATTAATAAGACTGACCTCTGTACTGTTAACAAAACTGACCTCTGAACTGTTTACAAGACTGACCTCTGAACTGTTGTCTCTCAGCCAATCGTCTGCCAGCTAGGAGCAGTAACCTGTCCGGAACATCTGGTATGTTTAGGAGGTTGTCAAGACTCCTGATGGCTTGCTCCAGAAAGGCGTTACTCTTTCTTTTTTCGGCCATTTTGTCCAGAACTAAGCCCTTGCCATAATTGGCACGGGGACTGTTGGGGTATTTTTCAATCACTTTTTCATACTTTGCCAGCGCTCCCTCAAAATCTCCCTATAAAACATAAAACATGTAAACTGTATAATGTAACTATCATACTTAGCCTATTAAAGCTCCCTCTAAAACTCAATATTTTAAAAATGTACAAAATTTCTACCAAAACAAAGTACATAAAAGTACAGCCTACGTACCTCCTCACTTAGTTGGTCAGCACTGTCCAGCCTCTTCCTGTTCCTGTAGTCACGACTGTTTGTGATCAGGAGGTTGGGGTACTCTTCCTTCTCCTTTTCTTTTCTTACTCTTTCTACTTCCTTATCTGACATCTGAGTACCTGTCCTTGTCTCTCCAGTAGTTGACTGAACAACCTCATCTTTCTTTGGTTCTGAAACCACTTTGTCTTTTACTGGTTCTGAAACCACTTTGTCTTTTTTTGGTTCTGAAACAACTTCTTCTCTGACTGGTTTTTGAACAATCTCTTCTTTGTCTGGTTCTGAAACAATTTCAACTTGAACTGGTTCTGGGATATCCACCTCCACAACTGGTTCTAGAACGTCCTCCTCCCTGATTGGTTCTTGAACAACTTCATCTCTGACCTGTACTGGAACAACCTGGTCTTCCATTGGTTCTGATACAATTTCCTCTTCCAGTTGTTCTGGAACATCCATTTCTACAATTGGATCTGGAACATCCCCCTCCCTGATTGGTTGCTGATCATGAACAAGCTCCTCCCTGATTGGTTCTGGGACCTCTTTTCTGATTGGTTCTGAAGTCTCCTCTCTCATTGGTTGTTGATCATAAACAAGCTCCTCCCTGATTGGTTCTGGAACCTCCTCCCTGATTGGTTGCTGATCGTGAGCAACCTCCGCCATGACAGGTTTTTGAACAACTGCCTTTTTCATGGGCTCATCGGTCATTTCTACCTTTGGTTCTTCAAACTGTTCAACTTTGTCTTCCTCTATATCCTCTTCATTATCTAACATAGAAGAGATCTTCATTTCCAATTTGTTGATGTCTGGTTCAGTTACTGTTTCATGTTGTTCAGCTTGTTTCTGTTTACTTTGTTCAAATGACTCTTCTTGTTCCTTCTCTGTAAGTCCTTCATGTTCGTGCTTTTGTTCACGGTTTGTAACTATTTCTGGTTCTGATTCAAAGGTTTGCATAGGTTCTGGTTCGATCATTTCAGGTTGTACCGGTCCATTAATTTGTTCTTTTTCTGGTTTAGTAATTTCCGGTTGTACTGGTTCAGGAACTTTTTCCTGTTCAGTGGCTTGAACAGGTTCTGGCTCGTTGAATTTGTCTTGATCTAGTTTAGATGCTTTAGGTTGCACTGGTTCATGAGTTTGTTTCCCTTCAGTAGGATGTACTTCCTCTGGTTCAATGTCTGGAGTTAGTTCTGGTTCAGGAAATGGAGTTATTTCTGGTTGTGTAATTTCTGGTTGTTCAGGTTCAATATCAATATTTGTTTCTGATTCAGGTATTTTCATAACTTCTGGTTCAGTAAATTGAACTGGTTCCTTTTGAGAAAGTTCAGGTTGCACTGGTCTGGTACTTTGTTCTGCTTCAGATATCTGAGGTTGTTCAGGTTCAGAGATTGCTTCTTGTTTTGACTCTGTAGCTTGTACAGGTTCTGGTTCAGTAAATATCACATTTTCCGGTTCATTTTCTTGCATTTCTTCCCTCAGTTCTTCTGGTTCAGGTTTCCTTTCCAGGGATTCTAAAGGTTCAGCAACCTCAGCTACTTCTGGTTCAAACTTCTCGGCCTCTTGTTTAGGGACATTGGCTAATTCTGGTTTCTTAGCTTCTGGATCAATAGGTTCAGGGTCCTTGACTAATTCTGGTTCTACAGGTTCAGAGACCTCGTCTTCTCCTGGTTCTGACTTTTTAGTTTCTGGTTCTACAATTTCAAGGACCTCTTCTTCTCCTAGCTCCTGTACTTGTTCAGTAATATCTACCTGTAATGGTTCAAAGGATTCAAATTGTTCTTGTTCAAAAGTTTCTCCATTATCTGACTCAAAATCTTGAACATGTTCTGGTTCTTCCATTGTGTCTTTCTGTGAGACCTCATCAATTGTTTGTGGTTGTTCAGGTGGCTGTTCAAATCTCTTTTCCATTTCTTCCTCAAAATCCTCGGTCTTTTTAACTTCGGAATCTCTCTTTGGTCTCTCACCTTTCTCAGATTCTGGTTCCGCTATTTGCGACTTTAGCTGTAAAAAGGATTCTTGAATTTGACTTTTGAGTGACTTGAGTTGATCATACACCATATGTAGCTTGTCCTGCACTTCATATTTTTCCAGTGTCCTTTCTGTAAAATAAAAAGGAAGAAATAAAAATACTGTATAGCACTTTAAATTCGCAGGGTCAATATTTCGCAGTTTCGTATTCAGTACATGTTCGCGGGGGTTAAATTTCGCTGTGCACCCGAATCCCATGTGTCATGCATAGTATTTTGAGTGTCATCATTTAAGGGTTAAACCTCGAAATACAGGTAAACCGTTTGAAAACAATGATTCCGAGCGTCGTCATCCACAGGTGACTACTTGCAAAAGAAAATCAAATGTGTATGTACCTTTACAAGTAGGAATAAACTGTAATCAATTAATCACCTACTGTGTACACATAAATATGGTGTGGCCAGTTATATGTAAGTGTTGTTCTTACATGGACTGCCCACTTGCCCGGTGATAATCTGATTTGACTTCATTTAAACTTGCATAACAGCGTTGGGTTATAAGTATTTTCAACATGTTGTGATAACGTCAGTGAAGGCAAATTGGTCACATTAGTAAGGGTTTCTGTTAATAATTCGACCAAATAGGCATGTATCAAAATGCCGACGAGCACCAATACAGACGATTTGACCGGAATGCCTATAAATAAACATTGTTGTAAACACGCCTGAATGACGTCAAGCAGCAACATTTGTGACATCATCAGGTCTTCCGTGGTTTTGCTCAAAGGTGCAGGCAGTTTCACCACCTTCAAACATTTAACTAATTTACAAGTAATCTAAGTGTTTAAATGTAAAATTGTGTATGTTTATGTTACACAAGCCGTACTGATACGAACAGCGCCAAATGTGTGTGTGTGTAACAATGATTAACATTGAAATACACGGCTTTTCTTAGTTGTGATAGTTAGTTTTCGGTAACTTGAAGAAACTGATTAATGTTGTTTAAGAAAGATGACGGGTATCGGCTGAGATGATGTCAATTTACATGATACGCAATAAAGACTCAGTCCTTAACACATATCAACTTCAAAATCGCTGCCCAATATTATGTTTTTCATCGGGTCAGGATGAGAGGGTCCAGGGCTTTCAACGATCGCCCCCCCGTCTTTTTGGATAATTTGTCACATGTACGTCTCCGATAGTCTTGCACGTCAACGGGAAACATCTGACAAATTAAAACGATTTTCTTGGGCTTGAAAACTTATTCAACAAAGACTGCCCGGCCAGGTGTTGTAAATGTACTTACTTTTTCATGTAAAAATCAGTCTTTGGTAACTGTCGGTCTCTACGTACAATCAGCATGCCATTGTACAGCAGCACTTTCAGGCCGACAACAAATTCCTTTCAGATATAAATCTAGAAAATTTCTAGATGATATTTTGATTTAAATGTTGTAAGATTGTTGAATGTAAGACGCAAACAATACTTTTAAAAAGATACTGGTTGATTGTATTCTAAATACACATGGCATGAAAATGGAAACTGACGAATTATAAAATCGCGGATCTTTCCGATCGTCATTTCCATAAACTCGCAGTGGATCGTCAGTACATTGTACATGTACCAAAATAAACTTGTAGAAAAAAATAACTACTTGCATTTACTGCAATTAGCGTTAAGATATGGGTATTTTCATGTGTATGTAATAAATTTACACTAAATAACAACCAACTGGCCTCAGATTAATGAGTTTAGTTGACGAGATGTCCGTCGCACAGACCAAATTTTTAAGATTTGTTCTGTTACAAGATACTTCATAAATGTTTTGATTAAAAGTATAGCTTTTCCCTTCTTATACCTCTTCTTGTCAAAATATTTGAAGGCTTTAACTGTGTTGAAGACTATGGTGACGTTATTTACGTCACATCTTATGTATTATGACGTCATATGGCATTTTCGTCACAGGGTGGCAAGTTTGGGTGCATGGCGAATTTGCCTGCACTAACGTTAAGGTCCGTTAAATTTGTTAACATTATCGATAGTTTCGCTGGTGTTTAAAATTCACGGCTATTAGTCAAAGCGCGAATATAGCGAAATTAAAACCCCCGCGAAATATAACTGCTATACAGTATACAACATATATATGCATATATATAGATCAAGTCATCTCTGAACAGTGGTATATATAGACCTAGATGTATAAAATTTAGGCCCCAGTACATAACAACCTTATTTGGGGCTCAAAACTAAGATTTATAAGCCCTGGCAATGTTTAAATCTTAACAAGAATATTTTTAACATTTTGATCTTGACTAATCAGAAAGTACCAATAATTTTGCAATAGCTTAAGCTTTAAAAGTTCTAGGGGTATCCGATACCATTGGACAGTATATCCTTAGATATTCAAATACAGAAGGATTATATTGTGGTAATATATATGCATCCTGATATATTGTCATAGGAAAAAGGTGCTCAGTTTAAAAAGAGATTCTTTTACTGACATATACATGTGACAGAATGTGTAATAATTTGCAAAATTACTCACCTGAGACAAACAGTATAATGCATAAAAATAAGCTTTTGAAAAATATAGCTAGATTTCATCTCTATATTGTGTTACGATACAATAATTTTTTATTATATGCCTGTATATTGCAGTTGATCAGCTAGTTTTCCAATGTATCGTGACAGATATATATGTTAAAGAGTTCTATACTTGATTCTTACCAATCAAAATTTGATATTCTTCATTTGCATAGATAACTCCTCCCACAGCCACCATTGATGCAATGATAAACAGTAGAAACATCTGACGGAAGCATGACCCGCGACGCTTCGGTTCATGCTTGCTGGTCTGTTTCGACCCTGTTGCAGGTTGACCTTTTGGCTCTTGTTTATTGGACTGCTTTGACCCTGTTAAATGTTGATCCGATTTTCTGCCTCCATTCTGTACAGATTTTTGTTTATCAGGCGTCATCTGCCTCTTTTTACTGTTAGACTCATTTTCTGCAAGACAAAAGAAGACAGAATATGTCAGAGTATAAAAGCCAATCTCAGTATTATATATCATATATATATATTCCGTCTTTGCGTATTGCAGAGTTATCTTCTCTTGGGAGCAGGTATCGCTTGTTACGTCACATGTTTGTGAGAGAAGCGTCATCAATTTTTGAGAAAACGACGTAATTTATCAATACCTGCTCCCAAGAGAAGATAACTCTGCAATACGCAAAGACGGAATATACAATGTACCATTTATGTGTACTACTACATCCTCGATACTCCAGGATTCTGGAATAAGTCATAGCAAAATTGACTTTGAAGGCTCAGTCAGCGATACCTTGTGGATGAGACAAGTAGACTAGTTTGATCCTTGCTTGCACATCAAAAGAATATCATGCTCGCCTTATGGTAAAGTTGACTGGCTTTGAAGTAGGGTGTTGTTCTTCTGAAATCTTCAAAGGACATGTATCAGCCTAGCGATTGGTCAGTTTCTTTCACTAAACACCAATCAAATAGCTAGACATGGAAACTTGCATTCAATTTTGCTATGACATATTCCAGGGATGCAGGAAATGTAAGTGAGCGTAAGCCCTAGAGTATTGAGGATGATACTGGTACTGATATTAAAGTCCATGAACACAGGAAAGCATTTGTTCATACCTGTGCATTCACTTTTCAAGGATTTTAATTGCAAAAGGTCCATTGGGCAAAAGTTTGGCCCAATTTGATAAGACCTGAAAATTTATTTTTTAATATATATATCTCAAATTTTACTTTTATAACAATGTAACATTCAAAAGAAATCATCATCATTAAATTTTTTAATATTGAGAGAAATTGTGCAAAACAAATCTTGACTTTTTTCTAAAATGCCCTGTTATTTTATCACTCCACATCACAGATTAGGGCAATCAATTAAGGCACCAACTACCTTGGAGAGGGAACATGGGATCAGAGACTTTCTTTCTCATATTTCATTTTTTTATTTATTTATTCATTGTCCATGGTTTTTCAGATTTTGTAATGAAGCTTTATTGTATGTTAACTGAAATTAATTTTAGCAGGTGCTTCATTAGGAATCAAACCAAGGACTTATTTTTCTTAGTCTTCGACCCAGAAGACAACTATTTACAACACAGGTTTGGATATCCTCCTTTCCAAGCATTCACCCAATACTTAAAACAAGGGTTGACCAGCTGTCCAAATTTGTAAGATGAGAATTTCAGAAATAGAAATGCAGCGCCAGACCTGGATTCGAACCCAGGACCCTTCAAACTTCAGACCGATGCTATACCATAATTAAGCTACCTGGACATGACAATCAACTGCTTTACTATAACCTCAGTCCTTGGCAAACGACGAAAAAGAGAGTAGGGATCAGTGACGTGTGGGCCGACTGTTTTTCAATTGATGGTGGAAGCTTTAGTACACATGTACAGAGAGATTTGATTGTGTCAACGGAGAGATATAGGGCTTCTACTTTTACATTATAATAACCGCCTTCAACAAGTTGAAGATTATATTATTTGGAGATCATTGCATAAGGAGGGAAAAATAAATAAGTAAATAGATATATAATTAAATAAATAAATGAATAAAAAGGGATTTATGGTAATTTAGCTATGGTGGATTTGAAGGCAGGTATTTTATTAAGTTCACAGATGTCTCAGGAGGGAGGCGGTTCCAATCAGATATTGTTCGTGGGAAAAAATACTTTTTTCTGACCTGGGTTTTACAAGAAGGTACTTGAAATGAACCTATATATGGGCTGGAACCTAAACTCTGACATTAGTCTGAAGCCCACTTGCCGTCACACATCTATGAACTCCCCTGTCCATAGTGTTAGACCTGACTTTGAAAACCACTTACATTTGTATACTACTAAAATAGGACACCCTGATGTTTTTAGTAACTTTTTACCAAATTAGTTTATCGCAGATATTCTTTAATTTGGCCAGTAACCAAATGACTAGACGGTTCATCACTTTGGAAGTGACTTCGATGTATCACAATTTTAAAAGTTCAGTCATTTTGAGGAGAAAAAAATCTCGGGATTATTTCTTTGGAAACACTGCTGGTAATTCCATTGGATTCATGGTTTGACACTGGGACCCTAGAAAATGTACAGTGGTATTTCATCGATGCAAAATAACAAAGTATCGTGACATGTATAACGTGCATAGGATATTCAATGGGACATGTTCTAATATTTTCAAGGTTATGACGATGCCCCAGAAAAAAATAAGATGACAATATAATATGGTCAATCAACTGTAAGAGTTTGACATTTCATGTCAAATAATCTTGCTACCTGAGCAATAATAGACTTTTAAAACGTAATAGTTAATTACCGTGATGGTAATTGTTCTTCTGAGATTTGTTTTTGGAAGCCTTTTTCTTCGCGTTTGCCATTTGTCACAGTTTAGCATCCAACCAAGCACTGAATTTCAGTTTCAGCAGCAACTGAAGGACCGGTTTTACAACGTGTACTTTAACCCCGGAAGTTTTTGTCAGAGTTCACAAATCATGCGCATTGCATATGTTGCTTATCCCCATATCCGCAATGAATTTAGATGTGATACTTTTATTTTGCGGGTATCCAAACAATTTTTTAAATATTTTTATTAGATATACCTCAAATATACATTTTTGAAACTATTTTGATATATATGTACAAAAATTTCGAAAGGGCTAGGTCAGTGCCCTAGTATATATTCATACGCCATAAAATTAGTTTTCACATTATTTCACAAATTTAGATTCTGACTTCATTGAATAAAAAAGCATGAACTTCACATTAAAACACGAAACTTAATTAACTTTTTTAATTTATATTATTCCGTTACATATCTGTGACACATACAAAAAATCGTAACATTGTCATTTTCGAACTATTTTTCAAGGTGTGGGTTCTTCCGATTTAGTTTATGACTCAGTGCATTGTTCGGTTCCGTTTACGTTAATATGACAGCAAATGTTTATATCCACTACAAAATATTTCAATATCACGATGTAATCATGGATGAATACCGGATTTAAAGTGATGTGATACGTTCAGAAAATAACTATTAACAATGGGGAGGCACGGGAAATGTTTCAATGCAGCGTTTTACACAACTCTGCTGATAATTTTGATCCTTCAGTTGGTAAGTTATGAGTGTATTCAACCATGTTGTGTATTGTGGGCTAAATCCTGAAATTCAGTTTTACTGAAGATAATCTCTAACATCAAACAACTGTAATGACAATACACCTACCGAATATGCAGTTTGTATGATTAAAAAGGTAAAATTGTTGCCAAAATAAAGGTGTCAAAATGTGACACGACTTGCTTCAATAGATGGCATCAGCTGACGGAAATAGATATTTCCCCTTGGTTACAACAGGAATCCATCCATTGATGCGGCTTTACAGGGGATGATTATCATTGAGTAATACGAAAACAATAACTCAAGATGATAAGCTATTTTATTTAGGTTATTTTTCTTTTGTACAAAGTAACGACGGTAATTTGTATTGTACTGTAATCTGTCGTGTAATATCAAATTGTCAAAATAATGTGGTGTCTATATACCTGTACTAAGTTTAGCAGCTAGTAAGTTATTTGTGATTTTGTGGCATTTTGATTATTGCATCAAAACAAGGTTAGAACTGATATGGATTGAACTGTCAGTGTCAAGCACACCACAAACAAACAATTTGATACATATATTTAAGTATGATTTGCTACTTTAACATGTTGCAACCCAGCCTTCCTCATTAAGAATGACTTCAATGATGCCAAAAGATTTGTTTATTAGGTGATAATATCCTAAGTTGCATGCCAATTAAGCATGTCATTTAAATAAAAAATGAAAATAATTTCCGAATGTAAGTGGTTTCTAAAAATTTATTTCTAGCTCTGGTGTGTCATAAACTCATATGTATACTTCAAAGAGTTGCAGTAACTATATTGATCATGACTTGGGTGTAACTGTCAATACTATCCTCATAAAATTGTTAAACAATCTAGAATAAACAGTTCACAAGATGAGCATCATTTTTGTGAATCATTTATCAAATGTTGCAACCTGGACTTTTACATTAAGAAAACATTAAAAAGATGTTTGATGGCATATATTTTTGTATTGTTTTGTAGTTGAGTACGCTGGAGAGACAGGTGTTCGATTTCCTGGGTTTTATGTGGGCACCTATAATTGCAAATTTCTTTCAACTTGTGTGTGTCATTATCGGAGGATTTGGTGCCTACCAGTACAGATCAAAGTTCATTGCAGTGGTAAGTGTTAAGCATGTGATACAGGACATCTAAATTGTAATGTATATATATATTACCAGTGTATATTTTACAACAATTTAGAAAGAACTTATTTCAACTTTTATAAATTCTCTGGTTTGTTGGCGCTAATGTTAGCGTGTGTCTTATTATATATTAAATGTGGGAGAAAACCGGGTCCACCAAAATCTTGGACGGTCAACTTAATCTCCAAAACTTGGTGGACCACCTCATGTTGCTTGATAAGAGTATGCATATTTGAGAATATTGTTAAGAAAGATAGTAATAAAGACTATATTTACTCCGCCAGAGAGCTGTAAAATCCAACCTGGTTTAAAAAGTCATATTTTCGTGTTATCAACCTGCTAAAAGTTTTCGTTATCACTCTTGGACGAGTGAAGTGCGTGAATCCGCTTGCGTTAAGCCGGAATCTTTACAGTGTTTGAGTCTTTCGTGGTATAGTTTGCCACTATTCTACGCACTTAAATGACGATAACTAAGATTACGGTGGTCAACCGGTAAATGAAGGTAACCTTAGCCTCACATTTTTGTTTTGTGTTATGTTTTGATTTCTAAATTTTATCGTATTCTAGCGTATATCGTTTAGGTGATTGTGTCCCTCGATTATCTATGTCTCTGTACTAGACTAGTACCTTATCGCCTGTGTTGCGATGTTTAAATTGCTTGGTCTACAACCACTGGCAAACAAAGTTAAATACTTCAACAGAAAAAAAACCTTCAGGACTTTGTATGAGCAACGCAAAAGGATGAGATCCTTTCAGGAGTCATGAAAATCGTTTACATGGCTCAATGATGATACTGACACAAACTTAATGAAATGTAGCTAGGGTATGCTGCACTCAGAAGATGATTTCGAAATGTCCAGGAAGGATTGATTAGAGTTGCAACAAAAATCATACAGACTACTGTTGGGGGCTATGTAAAAAATTAAACAAACTTGTAGAAAAAAAATCATGTTTCTGTGCCATTTCCTAAAAATCATAAATGGAAAAATTGAAGAAGTATTACATCTCGAACTGACACAACATGGGGATAGGGGATATTCACGTTTTTAAATTGATTAAAGATAAACAATTGCTCCGGGCAAGTAGTATATAAAACATGTTTTTGTTCCAGAAATAGTTAACTGATTGTGTTTTAGTGGAAAGCTTTCAAACAATTATGAAATAAACAAAAATTCATGAAAAGCAACTTTATTAAACTTTGTTTTAAGGAAAAATTTGCTGCTAGAATACTGGCAATCTATCTTTTTTTAAGACTTTAAGGCCTATGAAAATAACTGAAACTCCAGCTTACACATAAAATGGGAATAGATAAAATATTGACTTATTTAATGATTATATGTAATGGTTATGTACAGAAGGACATAGTTTCGGCCTGAAAACGTTACTATTTTTCAACAGGAGGTTGCATTATCATGATGTCAATCATAATGTGATTAAAACCGGACAAATCCGGATCCAGATTTCAGGAATTTAAGAATATTCAAAAGTAAATATTTCTAAATAAAAAAAAAGAAAGATAAATACAACCATCACTGCTACCCGGTATTTAATAATAAATAATTTAAATCATATTGGTTGCAAAAAAAAGAAGAAAGACTATAATATTTTATGAAAAATCCTTTTGTTTTGAAAAATCCATTTACTGTCTGTACATACAGTACATCCAATATGCATTTTATATGGGGCAAATAGGAAATATTTTCAGGCATGTGGATTTTTATGGTCTGCTTCCATTGCCCGGAGCAAGTGCTCTGATTTTTTTTTACACCCCTGTAATTTGAAAAAACAACAATTCTGATATCAAAATAAGAACAATTTGCGAGAAAAGAACAAAGTGAGAAGCTTGCATTGTGTTGAATTAATGTAATAAATTGCTTGTTATCACTTAAGCTTCTTTCTACTTTAAAACTTCTTACAAATGTCTGACATTTAGTGCAGATTTTCCAGATCAGAAAAACAGGTTCACATAAGGGCAATGTAGATTTTTCTTTTCAGATTACAACTCCTTAATGTTTAATACTAATAGCTATGAGGGTATCAATATGTACAGGTTTTGTCATGTTTCTCTGTTGTAATTATGTCTACTTGTAGTATAGTATATGCATGTTGTTTTTTTTTATCTTTTAACAGAAAAACAAAAGACTTTGTTTTGAGTACATGTACAGCCTCAATAGAGGAAATATTGCATACAAGTACTGCATGATCATGATCATCTCAGAGATAAAAAAAAATGATCAATTATATTTTTGAAATCTTCAATCTTCATGTAATGTACATGTCTGGCCTTGTATACGGTTTTATAATGAATATATATATTTTACATTTATTTACTTTATTTTTAGGAACAGTTCATTTATTTTACAACAGTTATGAAACAAGCTATTTAAATATTAATATCACTCTTGTTAGCCCGTATGTTAGTGTGCAGGGGGNGGGGGGGGCAGGTGACCTGTACATTTTTACATTCAATCAGGGAATCAAGTTCCCTTGGTAAAAGGCAAGTGTTCCATCCATTTCACCACCTGACCAATTTGTGTATAAATTTATGAGGTGCAGGTATGGAAAAAGGCAGAGATTTCAGAATAATGTATCCAAATATATCTATATTATAACAATAACAAATCATTTGAATGTATGTTATGTGTTTTTAAGATGAATTTTGGTAAACATATATGAAGAAATATTTATTTGAATGGAGTTAACTTTGATAGTTAGATACAGTACAGTTCTGTCACTTTGGTCAAAATTCCCCAGAGAAATATATATAGGCTATAGCTAGGGTGGTACTATTATTGTCTGTCTATATATAGCTAGCTATAGGTGGGACTACTATTGTTGTGTTATAAGTAGATAGCCATATAGTTGTGACTGTTATAAATATATTACAAGTTTTGTGACAGTTAGTGGTAGTATAAGGAGTACAAAATCTTGACCTCACATCTTCAGGGGGACAACAGGAGTGCCTTTGAGATCTTAATCTACCCAGACTTCTACAATAGACCTTACTTCTTACTGAAAGATGGATCTTGTATTCTCATCACACATGTACACTTTAAGTGTGTATTGATTGAAATATGGAACAGGAATTCAGTACTTAAGTTATTGGGAGAGAATTGTTTTTAGAGAAGCCTGTTTGAGCCACGTGTTACAGTATATGATGTAAATGTGTGTTATACGCTGTATACACTTAGTAACTGGATGTTTAACGACCTGAAGCAGGTGGTTTGTACTCAGTTCTCCCACAGAAAATCTGTTAATATATTCATGGTACATAGGTCACTTTACCCTATATTAGATCTATGAATTGGGGCACAAAGATATATAAACATAGATCCAGGGTTTTTGTAGTAGAAGGAAAGGAGATACAGTAAATATATACATGTACGCTGGAGCTGTGACCCACCATAATACATTGTTTGGGGTCTGGTTTTACTCCCAGTTATCTGAAGAATTTATGGTGATAACAGGCTGGGGCTACTTACTACTACATTTAATCTTCAGAACTTTGTTTCCATGAAATTTAATACTTACAACTAAGTGTACTAGTAATATAACTTACAGAACCAGAATCAAGTAGCCCTGAAGAAATGTGGTTGTCCTGCAAAAGCAGACATAAACTGATAAAAATGTTACAAAGCTCTGGAAATGTTAATGATGCGAAACTTTGCATTCTAGTACACTTTTACAATGTTTTTGCAAGACAGTAAAGTTAAGGGTAATATGCATACATTGTAAATCAACAATTCATTTTGGGTGGTCGGGTGGCGCTGTGGATAACGCACTCGCCTTTCACAAAGGCGGCCAGGGTTCAATTCCCTGATCGGATTTGAAAAGGTATGGGGTCACATGCGAGACCACGTGGGTTTTCTTCGGGTACTCTGGTTTCCTCTCCCACATTAAGACCCTCTGCGCGCTAACATCCCACTAACAATAACATCCACTAACATCCGGGTCAACAAGAGTAATTAATAATATAAGTTATATAACTTGTTTCATAACTGCTGTAAAATAAATGAAGTTTATATATTATAATTTATATACAAATTCTGACCCCCTTTACACACATGAATATGGCAAGCCTTCATTTTGAGGGTCAAAAGCCATTTTGGGAGGTCTGCATATATACCTGTATGAATATTCCGGAGGTACAAAGAGAAACCTTTGACTTTAAGCATGAAATCTCAACAAAAATATTATCATTTGTGCCATGATTTGGTGAAATTCTAATTACAAGTAGCAATTTATTTTAAGAATTTGTTTATCTGCTGGCCATGGGCTGCCCATCTTGAATGTCCATACTTGTAGACGTACAGTACAGCCGGCTGATCACTAACTGTTAGAGTCTGAACCCTGGAAGCTCTGCTGTGCATTTGCATCCCGATACAAAACTCATACATTTCTAAGACATGCCAAAGAGTGTAAGCTCCAAAATTGACTGGTGCAATATAAATGATGGGAAAACCTGCCAGATGTACATGTATAATAAATGACTTGCTTTCCTCACCTTAATCAGTTATATACAAATTATAAGATCAAAATGGTTTTGAAAGTGAAGAAAAAGTCTCAGAAGGGGACTATATACATGTGTGTCATGAGCCTACTATATATATAGCTACGATTCCTATATATAGCATTTTGTGCTGCCTCACTCAGGTATTTGAGTAAGTTTTCATAATGACATTCTTGAAGCTGCATGTAGTATTGAATTTGATCATTCATAATCAGGTCTTTAGAAAGCTTGTTTCATTATACGTATATACACCTACAGTACGTAGCTATACATGTTTATTCTCATTGACAGCTGTTTGACACAGCTGAAATCAAACTGTCCTCACCGCAGTTTTCATTAAAGTGCTATAAGTATAATTGGGCTGTAACAATTTACAAGTTCTACTGTCTAGGTGTGGATATCAGAGGCATAGCTACAGCCCTTGTTCGGAGTACATTATGTATTAGATGTCCAATTCATTTAGGATCAGGTTATGTTGAGGGCCTTAGTAGCCCCCCAGCCCCCCTCCCTCCCTCCCTCCCGGGGTGCAACAATCAGTGTTTTGTTTTGTTTTTCTGTTTGAAAATTTGGTGGATTCACATACGTACCAGGGTATCTAGGCAGCTATGTATACAACTTGATAGATAATCGCTAAAATTACAGGCCTACAAGTTGCAGCCAGTTTAAACAATATTTGTGATTAAGCCTTGTTGTTTTTATTATTTTTATATTTAACAAATCATGACATGAATTTTGATGATGGTTTTTGTTTTGTTTACAGTATAGTACCTGGTCGCTGATTTGGCTGGGATGGAACGTGTTTGTAATATGTCTCTACCTGGAAGTGGGTGTTTTAAATAGAGTAAGTATTTAACTTCTTAGATATCGCCAGTTTTTATCAACAAACAATCAATTATTTAATATGTTCTCATCAAATTATTCCTGGCTATATTGTTGTGCCTGCATGGCCTTAGCTTAAGCTTGGGCTAATTAAAATAAAATGTTCTCATCAAATTATTCCTGGCTATATTGTTGTGCCTGCGTGGCCTTAGCTTAAGCTTGGGCTAATTAAAATAAAATGTTCTCTTCAAATTTTTCCTGGCTATTTTAGTATTATTGTGTCTGGCCTCAGCTTGGGCCAAATACATTAGTGTTGTACTCACTGCCCGTGAACAAACACACACACATATATATACAATATCCCTTTCAAATTAAACAGGGTTCTTTTGCAAAAGTTCAATGAAATTATTGAAAGAAAATGTTGTATGCTTTTGAAATTCTATACTTCTAACATTAACTCATTCACCCCTGAAGACACATTTGAACCTGTATTTGCTTAGATAATTATCAGGTGTTTCTAGAAAACTGCATGTAGAAAAAATTGCACTAACAAATCCTGAAGTAGACTGGCCACCAGCTGCCCCCTAAGTCTTTATGAAGAATTTCTTGACTGCATTTTACTAGCTTATCTCCCCCTAGTTTAGATCATCGGCGAGTTAAAAAAATTCTTAATAATTCAATATTCTAGAGACGGGGGCGTGAGTACTAATCAGTCTTCGACCTGCTGTGCCCTTGTGTTAAGATACATGTACCGTCCAATCAGTAATTATATAAGTTAGAGAAAAACACCAATAGTACCATAACATTAAAAAGGTATTTCAATTTCATCGTCAAATATCATAAAAATGTAATATTTGCTGCATGTTTACAATGCTGGATACATAATATACTAAAGAACTGACAGCAAATTAAAAAGTTTACAAAAAAGTTAAAATATTTTGTAAACTTAAATCTTACCAAAAAAATGCACACAAAACTATTTCTGGTAAACTGTTCAAATAATTAAAATTTTCAAGAAATACATATATATTCTTGTCTTGAAACATAGTCGCAGGATGACCATTGAAGTTTGTTTATGTTCCGTTGGTCATGGTCCGGATATATATGTACCAATTACAAGGTTGCACAGTATTGTTAGACAAAGTAAGCTATTACAGTAGCTTAATAGGGATTTTACCAACCGTACATCTTCAGATTAAGATGGATGCTAGACTGTGTTAAGCTTTTGAGTGGGATCATTAATGCAATCTGATTAAAAGGTCTACAATTTCAAAATATACTTTTGTGATTTCCTGCAGCTGGTACATTAGCAGGTGTAATGTATGTAGAGGCGCAGTGCATAGTCTAGTGGTAGGATGCCCGGGCTCGTGACCGAAGGGTTGCAGGTTCAAGGCACGGCACGGCACTGTGCTGTATCCTTAAGCTTGAGCAAGATACTTTACTCTGCTTGTTCCAGTCTACTCAGCTGTAAATGAATACGTGGTTGAATTGGGCAGTGCTAAAATTGTAGAATGCTAGCTGTGAGCGCTGAAATGGCAGCCCCGGCTGTATGCTTCCCAGGGATTTGAGAACGATATTGGCTGGTTGCAAAGGCCCTATAACTGTTACCACGGATAATAATTTGTGAACCGCTTTGAGACGACCTACGAACTAGGTTGTGATAAGGGGTATATAAGAACCTTGAATTATCATTATTATTATATATAACACTTTGTAAATCTGGGTGATAACTGATAACTGTGATAAGATATTGTTAAAATTATTTATATATAAAAACCAACAGAACTGTTTGCTTCTAAAATATTATATTAATAATATTAGTTAACTGATTATTTAAATCACAAGAAAATCATTTTCAAATATACCCGATAGAGATTTCAGCTTCAAAAATACCTTTTACAAGTGATTCATTCTGTTGAAAATTCAATGTTGACGTTTTTAGGTCAAATTTAAATTATTTTACCAAGTTTTAAAGAGACGTCTTCAATGATAACACTAACCAGTATACTGATAACACTTACCAGTATACTGTAAATGCATTTCAAAATAAATGATGAGTGATTTAGGTTTTTTGTGTCTGAAAATATTGGGTAAACTAAATGACAAATATTTTAAAAATGCAGATTATTTATATTATACATGTGTAGATTATAAAGCTCATGGGCAGTAATAGTGGCCAGTTGTGTGTCTGTAGGTATTGTAATGTTTGTCAACAAGGAAGTGTTTACCAATCACTACATATTTGCCTATTGTTTGCCCAGAACTGCTTCTCGTATGCAATTGACTTGGGTGATTCCTGCTTTAAGTGGATGTATATAATACAAAATGTAAATGATATAATATGTTCTCATCAAATTCTTCCTGGCTATATTGTTGTACCTGGCCTTGGACTAATTAAAATAAAATGTTCTTGTCAAATTTTTCCTGGCTATTTTAGTATCATTGTGCCTGGCCTGGGGCCAAATACATTAGTGTTGTGGTCAATGGCCGTGAACAAACACACACATATATACAATATCCCTTTCAAATAAACAGGGTCCTCCTTCAAAAGTTCAATGAAATTATTGGAAGAAAATGTTGTATGCTTTTAAAATTCTATACTTCTAACATTAACTCATTCACCCCTGAAGACAAATTTGAACTCTTCCAATTCAAAGGTTGGAATAGTTCATTGTGAAATTTCAGGGGTGAATGAGTCGAGGGACACTGTAAATGCAATTTTCCTTGCAACGTGTGGTGATCGTGTGGTGATCGTGATCACTGTGTGGTGTTGTATGGATCTGTAATTAGTACGTAATAATAGTATCATGTGATTGGTGCGTGCTACTGTCTATATATGGACCTGCTAACGTTGTATAACTCTTGGTGTGATCAGTATATTGTAGCTGTAGGCTGATGCATATGTAGCTAAATTTAGATGTGACCAGTAGTGATCCATTATTAATGGGCGCCGATCAGCTGTTTAGATCAGCTGTTCCTGTGGAGCTAAAACTCGACAGATCTATCGAGAACAGCTGTCTGATCACTTAAGCTGTTTATGCTTTTGTGCATATTGATCTGAAAAGGCAGTTTATCAGTTTTAGAATTTAGTATTGTCACACCATCGACAATACTTTCTTATAGATCCACAGTGAAATTTTGATAGACCAGACGTTGACCAAGAATATTTTTACTTATGTATTTTAACTGTTTATTAATTGACCTAATATAAAGAAAATATGTGTAATGTATAGCATAGCTGTCAGCCCTACCTCATTTTGACCAATATTTACCAATCTCCCTCAAAACTCCCTCATTCAAATCCAAACTCACACAAACTCAAATCTACACCCTGTTGTCAAATGATCTCCTAGTTACTACAGGGTGTGTGTCATGGTCGGAGTTATCTTATTACATAAAAAGGGTTACACAAATTGGGTTCAGCACGTTAATGATCAGTGGCCTTTCACATACTTTATTTTTCTCCCTCGTTGGAAATGTGGAATGAGGGTTGATCTCCCAATCATTGGAGGTTTCAGAGGTTGACACCTACATATACGGTATACGAAGCCAAGTAGTTTCACAGAGGACTTTTTCTCTCTCTACTATATTTATTATTAAATTAACTCATTCACCCCTAAATTAAGACTAGTGCTGGGAATCAGTCCGATTTTGAAGATCAATTATCAGACATTCAAGATCGATCGGTAATCAATTATCGGTTGAAATTAGTGGCAAATAATGAGCAGTAGCTGATTTACACTGTACATATCTTCTGAGGAGCACTTTCCTCAGAAGATATGTAGATCAGCTACTGCTATTCATTGCCGTAATGTACATGAATAAAAATCCATTCAGTCCCTATATAAATGATTCCCATATATCGCTATATATATAAAGACTCACAGTGTTTTCAAGGTGATTGTCTTTGGCTCTACCGTAAAATGTTTGAACACTGATACACTGAACTTACTTGCAAATGTGTTTCAGCTTTGAATATAATAAAACAATCATGACGAACGTATTAAGTCAATTTTCCAGGATTTATAATGTCTATAAACGATTGTTGATATCATACATATTCTAAAGAGAAATGTTGGGAAAATTATAAAGTTTTGTTAGTTACAATGTAGTTAGTTAGTCCTCCTCGTGCTGGGCTACACGATCTCCATTTATGTCTGTCATGATACGGGGGCCGCGGTGGCTAAGTGGTTAAGGCATCTGACATTCTGCTACCATTAGCCCTCCTCCACTCCTGGGTCGCGGGTTCAAGACCTACATGGGGCAGTGGCGAGTTACTGGCCGAAGGTCTGTGTTTTTCCTCCAGGAACTCAGAACTCCAGTTTTTCTCCACCACCATAGATGTTAATAGGACGCAATACACAAACAAACCAAACCAACTCTCGGGACCACTGGTTTATTTGTCCCGATGTCCAGTCTTTCTGTTTTAGTTCTTTCTCAACAGAACGTCTCCAGGGTTCCTTTGGTCTTCCTCTCTTTCTATTCCTGCTGGTGTCCATCTCATTGATTGTACCTCTCAAAAAGTGTCCTTAATTCATCTATATAATGGTAATTATTATGAAAGTCACAAAAAGGGTCCAGAGTGGTGGCAGGGGAGGCTGGACTTGACGGAGCTCGAGCGGGGAGTATACCATTTGACAACCTCATATTGTCTACACTGTTAGAATTAACTTCCGTGCCCCATATATACCAATTTTAAGTAATTAGTATATCCTACCAACATATGTTTGTAAGGATTCAGTGTTATTTGGGAAATTATCGTTGACATTACTTCTTATACCCGTATACATTATGCTGTCTCGTGAAGAACCTCATAAGAGCTACATGTAGCTGGTGAAAGGCTAAGAGACGGTACCACTGTCTTTGTGATTTTTGACATTATCTTAATCCTACACAAGGACTCTTTAATCTTTTTTAATACATTATATATTACTTAGAGTTCCCCTGATGAACCTCTATAGAGGTGAAAGTGCTATTGAGGTACTAAGAACCTCTTTGTATTTGTTTTTTATATTATGTATATTATATATATATATGTGAAGTGAAAGGGGACAGGCACTGTCTTTTTCTCTGACTTCAAATACTGATGAAACACCATTTGGTGGGAACTAAAAAAAAATATGACCACGATATATGCTGTCCATATATATATATATATTAGAGCTGCTTGCAGCTATCTACAGCTGAAGTATAGGGAGTACACTAGTAAAACATAAACAGCCAATAGCTGTGTATAAATCAATACACTGTCTGGACTTTGGACCCTTAAGCTTTCTGATCATCATAATGAATGTGCAGGTTCTGCGTGTAAGATTTTCCTGCTGATGTCTATAAGCTATATATATAAGTTGCTACCTCCGGCTAGCTATGGCATTATAGCATGAAATTAATTAATTTGTTAAAAAAAAAAGATTTGCTTAACTTATCAGCTGGTCATTAAAAATATTTTATGAAACCTTGTAATTATTTATGACTAATATGATATGTTTTTTTTTATCTCAATTGGGATCAATGTCATATATATTTATTAGATTTTCTTGTAGCTGCATATAGGTTAAATTGTACTGTAGGTCTTTGAATAAAATGTTTTTTAATGCTAAACTATTGCTTTAGATCTTCATTTGATAAATTCAGTCATGTTTTCATTAATTATACACTCTCAAAGAATCATGGCCAATATAATGCAAGGATCTGTGCATATAAATACTGCTCTGAATGGTGTTATCAGTATACATGTACATGTACACCATTTCATGTCTGATTTTCGTGACACGTTAACGTATTACAAACATTGTCTTTTGGAGGAGTTAACGTTTCACCCTTCTGGGTTTGAAGAACACAGTACTTAAGTATCACTGTTACTTTTAATTGAAATTTTCCTGTCATTGCTTTACAGACTTCAGATCAGTCAAAGTCTGTTACTATAAATAGAATGTTCCCTCTAAATCCTTTAAAGACGTCATCACGACATCGGTTATAATCTTGATCTTCATGAATACATTTTCGTAAAACATCAATACTTGTACATGTGTGAGTTCGGACGTACAGCTTGTTTAAGATTACGGTTAATATTAATACAAAATTTGACGTCATTGACCATAGGATGGTCCTAAGGCCAAAACAATATGTGTTTCAGGTGATTATAACAAGACTGAAATAAATAGGGTACTCACACATGGTCTGTCATGTTTTTGTATTTTTTGAAGATTGGGTGCCAATTTAAGAGATTACAAAAATCACCATTTGAACCAATTTTAGTTCTTTTAAATACCGGGTAATAATTTTGGATTTAAATTTGGTTTTGATACCTGCCTATGAAGTAGAGAGGAGATACATGTATACATGTAGTTGCCTTGTTTGTTTGTTTATCCATCAACAATTTGTTTGCATCTGATGGACAAGTTATCCCAACACTGGATGGAGTGAGTTCCAGCAAGATAAATTGTTGGGGTCAGAGGTGTAAAGCAAGGATGAACAAGGATTTTTTCTAAAAAATACATTACAGTTAAATGTATGATGATCATGTTAACGGTCCTGCTTGAAGAAAATGAAACTAAAGCAAAACTTTTTTCTTACCAAAGAAATGGAGCTGAATTTATGAAATGTCTATAGCCAAAGCCAATGAAACATGAAATATACTGTAGGTCAGAGTAAAGTAGGGATCCTCTCCTAATTATAAGCATGTGCACCCTTCCCCCATTTTCGGGAGGAATTGAAATCATATAGACCCCTCCCCCTCCCAGACCTGCACTGGTACCAGGCTAGGCCCTGTCTATGATTGGAGTGTTTACATATTTTAATTAGAGATTTACTTCTGGGCCCATATTTATGAAGCTGTTCTCATGCTTGTGCATGGTTTCTGTGCTCAAATCAGCTTTCTTGTATACTCGCTTAAATCATGTCAAACAATCAAAAAGTCAAATATAAATGTTGAAAACAGCATTTGGCTTTAAATCTCTTAAACATGTTTCTGAATCATTGCCAAAATAAGATTTTTTTATTAATCTATAACCAGAACAAGAAATTAGGCTTGAGCACAAAATCCATGCTTATTAGCATGAGAACGGTTTCATGAACACGGGCCCGGATGATCATTGATCATTGCTGGACTTTCATTGAAGGTCGAAGTGGATGAAATGTTGAATCCCCAACTTCCACACCAAAATGTTTGTTATGTCCTTCGATGGTAACAACAGTTACAGTTGCACAAATTATCGGAGCAAATAATGTTTTCTGTGCATTGGTCGCTAATTATGGCGAATAAGGTACAAAGAGTTTACTGTAATAAGTTAAGGTGCTGCTAAAATTAAGCACTAGGATCCGGAGCACATATATATATATACTGCCCAGTTGATTCAGCTACTAGGTCTGAAGAATCACTTTGATGACATGAAATTAAAATGCTAAAGACATGTTAAGATTTTTGTGTCGCCTACGACAGATGTCGGAAAGACAAATAAGCGTTGCTTTTCCAACGGCGGCGGCGTCAACAATGTTAAGGTTTTGCGTTTAGCTCTGTTTCTGACAAAGCTGCACCAACAAAACCTCGATCATAGATGTAGCATGGGTAGTGGAGCCTACTGCACTAAAAATATTTCCTTGATTTCTGCATTTTTTTGGTAAAAACCTCAAATTTCTTGACTTAGAAAAAAACTTAACGTTAAGGTTTTGCGTTTAGCTCTTACATATTAGGCTGTTTCTGACAAAGTATAAATGCTAGAGCAACCAAACTTGGGTCATAGGTGTATCATGGAATGTATAGCTGAATGCATTACACTCTTTACTAGCATTTCAATGATTTCTGTATTTTTGGGCTAAAAACCTTAAATTACTGGACTTTGAAAAAACTCAACGTTAAGGTTTTGCGTTTAGCTCTTGCATATTAGGCTCTTTCTGACAAAGTATAAGAGCTAGACCAACCAAACCTCAATCATACATGTATCATGGGTAGTAGAGCCTACTACTCTAAAAAACAATACATGGATTTCTGCACTTTTTCGGATAAAAACCTGAAATTTCTGGACTTTAAAAAAGATCAATGTTATGATTTTGCGTTTAGGTCTGTTTCCTTATGTACTATGTCAAATGCTTATTATATTGACAAAGCGGAACAGGCGACACATATAATTACACGTCATTCTTGTTTATTCTTATATTGTTGATAATAATATATATATGTATATATATGCATATACATGTACCATATATATATAACATTTCCTAGAAACTTAATTTTCAGTGTCTATTTCTCATTGAATATACATGAATATAGATTCACACCACTTCCATTATTATATGCACAAATGACTTTAGTTTGAGGTCTTGTTACTAAAATTTGAATTTATTTACTGTGTTTTTCAGAAGCGAGACTTGTATATTCTTAGTATTGGTACTAAGAACAAGAGTTGGTGGTTGGAGAACGGTATAGGCTGTCAAATTACCAACACATCCTGGAAGCTGACCAACACTGTTCAGGATTCAAGTCGTGACATTCCGCCCGAGGACGTCATCAAAGGCTGTCTTCTGGAGTATTACTATGTAGAGGTCATTCATGCAGCAGTACAATGTTTACTAGCGGTAAGTCGTACACTCAAATACGATGTTTACTAGCGGTAAGTCATACACTCAAATATGATGTTTACTAGCGGTAAGTCATACAACCAAATACAATGTTTACTAGCCGTAAGTCATACACCCAAATATGATGTTTACTAGCGGTAAGTCGTACACTCAAATACGATGTTTACTAGCAGTAAGTCATACACTCAAATACGATGTTTACTAGCGGTAAGTCATACACTCAAATACGATGTTTACTAGCAGTAAGTCATACACTCAAATACAATGTTTACCAGCAGTAAGTCATACACCCAACTAGCGATAAGTCATACACTTGAATACGATGTATACTAGCAGTAATCATACACTCAAATACGATGTTTACTAGCCGTAATTAAGTCATACTCACAAATATGATATTTACTAGCGGTAATTAAGTTATACACACAAATACAATAATTACTAGCAGTAAGTCATACACTCAAATACAATTATTACTAGTGGTAAGTCATACACAAAAAGGAGCTTTACAAAATTTTGTGTAAGCTTAGATAGCAAAGGATAATTTGATTTGGATAAGATTTCATCAAGTTTCTTTGATAGTCTGTAGGGTCAGTCAACATACATGTAAAGTTCCAATTTGGTAAGCTTGCTACATGCTTTGCTTATATTTTACTGGGAGAACATGTACACGCAACAATAAACGAGGGCCGTATTAGACTTATGCTTACATGAATATATATGCTTTCATTTCCAGTAAATTTAATAAATGATTTGTTTTTGTTGCAGTTGATTGGTTTTGTGTTTTCCTGTATCACCCTGTACATGTACGGAGACGAGGAAGAAAGTTGTAAGTACCTCGCTCAGTCGAGCACATACTCACGTCCAACGTGTGTATTCATCAACGAAGACAAGTATGCAACTACCAAATACGAACCAATCCCCTCACGTAACAGTTGGTGTCTGCCAACATACGTGTCATTCACCGACAGTTTAGATTGGTCGAATCCTGGGCATGCCAAATCAGTCCCAAATATCCACCAATCATCCACAGTTCTGACTACACTGAGCTCTGATCATACACCTGTGGAAGTGGATGGGGTCGTTGTACGACGACAGTTCAGCGACTCTGATGCTAGAGTTATCTGCCCTGGCCAGGGGAGATAACCAGTTATTTCTAGTCAGGTGTGTAGGATTTTCTGTGTTGGGTATATATACTCTGTAGTGGCTATCCATTGCTTCTATCTGTTTCACCAGTAACTCCAGGCTTCTGCCTGTTTCTCCATCAGTTACCCATCCTTTCCAGGTCAAACTTTAAATATGTAATTATTTAAATTTAATTCAAATGTGTTAAAATTAGGTTTCTTCTATAATATTACCTTAGAGAGTAAATCCAGAGGATGAAATATAAATAAAAAAAAATAAAAAAATCTGGAAATTCAATTGAGGGAAAGATTTGAACCTGCTATTATTTCAATTTTGCCACAATACAATATGTTAATACGTCTGTATTTAGTTTTTTAAATTTTTCTATAGCCCTGGAAAAAATAATGAAATGTACTTTGTAGTTGAAAATTATTTTTAGAGAAATGGAATGAAATTCAAAGAGGGAAGCATTGATAAATTGAAATTAGCAAATTAAATATCTTTTAAGGATTGGATAGGACATTTTGTTTTAATTTTTGACCTGGAACTTATGAGTAACTGCAGAGCCTGTGATGCTTGTTTACTGTCAATTCACTTCTGTCTGGTTCTCCGTTGTTGTCTTCCCTTGTTGTCGTGGTAACATAATGGGTGCATTTCAAAAATATATTTTTACTAGGCTAAAGTTTCAGGAGTGTTCATTCTGAAAGTTTTTTTTCCAATGCAGTAACTGTTCTGCAAGTATATATTATGAATATTCAATAAGACAAATTAATATGAAGTCATGATGATCTGATTTTAAGATGGTAATTTTAGTTTTCCTTTTGTTATTTTTTTTTTCCATTCTGATAATTGATATTTCATTTACTTGTGAGAAGATTTTTAAATGGGAAATGCATTGGTGCTGAAGGACCATTAATTGCTTCATTGCTTTTAATGCTGCGTTAGTGACAAAAGAGCTGAAAGATGTAGCGATAGCTAGCTGTACAGTTGTCTTGCCTGCTCATGCATGCATGCATGCATCTGGGATTGAAAAATTTGTGAGAAGGACCCATACAATACAATTGATATGATAAATTGGATAAAGCTGGATACAGAAATCCGACAAGATGATGAGTTTCTTTTCCTTCCAATGTACAGTCGTCTGCACGACCCCATCCTACTGCACGGAGGTATGAACGTCTGCAAGCATATATACAGTGATGTGTAATAAGTGTTTCATGTTATGTCATTTTCCCATTGGATTCTATGTCAATTTACTTTTTTTTCCAAAAACATTCCATGACTTCATTTGACATCCAATGTTTATAAAACATCATGTTAGATCGTTATCCAATGTTTCCTCTGGTAATATTTGTATTATTATCCTCGTCTCAGTTGTTGTGATATCACTATTCGTCCCAGTATATAGATTACATTTTGACATCATTCCCATAGACACAATGCTGATAATGCCAGAAGAATTGATTTTGTCAAATAGCCCATTATGGTCAGAAATCTTTGCAACGGATAATCATATCAGTATAACAAAGAAAAGTGGTAGATAATTTTTCTACCTTTGAGCAGAATTAAACAATATTTTTTACTAAAAATAAACCCAGGAAAATTCATTTTCCCCCCAAAAATAACGTAAAATTCAATGGGAAAATGACGTAACGTGAAAGACTTGTGGCACAGAACTGTATATAGTATTGCCGATGTTTTCAACAAAATACAAACAAATGTGAAACATAATTATTACAAAAGTGTCTTTATACACACAACACAATAATACAATATCAAGTGTTGACAATAAGGTAGCTCAATAGTCTGAACCTAGTGAAATCTCAAGCTGGATTTGTGATTCAAAAAACTGCTAGCCCAAGTCAAATTTTGATATTAATTAGTATTTGAATCATATAAGGTTGGTGGAAATCGGATTTGGACTAGTATAATTGTAAACTATTAGCCCGACTGACTAGTGTTTTAAAAAAAAGTGTTCCTAGCCCTGATATCGAGGATAATCCTCACACCTTATATATACCATATCAAAGACAAGCAGGAATTACAATTTATAATAATAAACTTGATTTATTTTACAACAATTATGAAACAAGCTATGTCAACTTATATTAATCACTCTTGTTGGCCTGAATATATGTTAGCTTATGGAGGGTCTTAATATGGAAGGAAACCGGTGTACCCGGAGAAAAACCCACGTGGTCAGGCAGGTGACCCCATATACTTTTTCATGTCCGATCGGGGAATCGCACCCCGGCCGCCTTGGTGAAAGGCAAGTGTGCTATCCACTGCACCACCCAATCACCCCTTATTTATAAGTACCAGATATATTTAAACTCAAGTTCATACTTAAATATTAAAGTTCAAGTTCAAAGGCTAGATGTAAAAAATCATGTGCCCATTGCTTCCAGCTTGTCAACTTCGACTACTTCATACATTTTTAAACTCTGAAAAACAATAGGTTTAGCATGTGCATGTATTACCTGGTAAAGATGTGGAAAATGTAATTAAATATGTGTCCAGTACAAGAACTTAAACTATAGAACAAAGTACATGTAAAGTAGCAACTATAACTCATTCACCCCTGAAATTTAATAATGAACTATTCCAACCTTTGAATTGGATGAGTTCAAATGTGCCTTCAGGGGTGAATGGGTTAAAAGTCATTGATTTACTTGTGACAGTGCTGGGCCATTGTAGGTCAATTTGGCTATTGACATACACCTAATAATCCTATATTTTAAAGTTCCATTGCTGTACATATTAATGATTCTATTGTTTGTTTCATTGGTTTAGATGTTACCTTATTAGTTTATATACCTCTAACCCAGTGCCATCATAATCTAGTCAACCACATTATCTCATGCTGATGTAACTGTTTGACATTTTTAAACTTTTCCTTTATAACTATTATTTTATTCTTCCTGATTTTGACTTTTCTGTTGAATTGGCCTTCAGTTTATTTCTGCATTTTGTGTTTGATTTTTGTTGTAAACATATATCAATATTGTGTTTGTTAATTATATAAACATACACATTTGTTTACAATTTTTATTTGTTTGCACCAATGCAATTAATGAGTCTTTGATTTGCTTGATTTTATTTTTTATTTTTACTGAACCTTTGTATTTTAATAATAATTTGATTGACAATTTGAGTTTTCCCCTATAATTTATTATACCTGTGATTTCATTTAGTTTCAGTATTTTATTTGTGATTTCAATTAGTTTAGTTTCAATTTTCTCTTTAATGCATTCACATTTATTGAAATAATTATGATGCCAATTATAATTAATGTTTGTTTGCATTTGATTTGAACAACAGTCCCTGATCCTTGTTGATTGATTGATATGGCTTTTCATCTGTGTTCCATCTATAACTGAGCCCAGCTGGACAGAACCCTTCCACCCAACCACCCAGAAATGCCCAAAGAAATGATTAATAAGGGGTACATTATATTTTGGCCCTGCATGTTCATAAAAAAACGAAACCATAAATAATCCCCCCCCCCCCAAATTTTGTTCAGTCTTTATGATGTTACACAGTGTATCTCTACTCTAATTATTGGTTTGGGTCAAAGAAGGTAATAACTAATATAGACGATTAAATCCCATATAACACTGGATCCTAATGGAGGTATATGTCTGTAGGATACGAATTACTTAAACTATTATATAGGGCAAAGAAGTAATTCCAACAGTGTGGACAAGTTATACCGTAGACTGTAATCATTAGATGATATGATCTTGTTGTGAGTTTGTAGGTGACCAACATATCTATTTGGGAGTGACATGTGTGATGATATGAGGGTTTAATGGCTGTAGAATGCTGCAGATTGTGATATGATAGTCTGGTACACCAGCTAGTTTCTTTTACTCTGGTATGTGGTGGATGGATGGGGAGAGAAATCTGGTATATGGTTAGGGCGGGGGAGGCAGATCTGTATTTCATGACATAATTGTGCTAGTGGGGCACGGGCAAGGCAGCTCTGGTATGTTTTGGGGTAGGGGGGTGCAGCTCTGTATATTATGTGCTGGGGTGGGTGGGGATGGAGGCAGTTCTGTATGTTATGTGCTAGGGGGGCACAGGGGAGGCAGCTCTGGTATGTTGTGGGCTAGGGGGGTGCAGCTCTGTATATTATGTGCTGGGGTGGGTGGGGATGGAGGCAGTTCTGTATGTTATGTGCTAGGGGGGCACAGGGGAGGCAGCTCTGGGATGTTGTGGGCGAGGGGGGTGCAGCTCTGTATATTATTGGCTGGGGTGGGTGGGGATGGAGGCAGTTCTGTATGTTATGTGCTAGGGGGGCACAGGGGAGGCAGCTCTGGGATGTTGTGGGCGAGGGGGGTGCAGCTCTGTATATTATGTGCTGGGGTGGGTGGGGATGGAGGCAGTTCTGTATGTTTTGTGCTAGGGGGGCACAGGGGAGGCAGCTCTGGTATGTTGTGGGGTAGGGGGGTGCAGCTCTGTATATTATTGGCTGGGGTGGGTGGGGATGGAGGCAGTTCTGTATGTTATGTGCTAGGGGGGCACAGAGGAGGCAGCTCTGGTATGTTGTGGGGTAGGGGGGTGCAGCTCTGTATATTATGTGCTGGGGTGGGTGGGGATGGAGGCAGTTCTGTATGTTTTGTGCTAGGGGGGCACAGGGGAGGCAGCTCTGGTATGTTGTGGGCTAGGGGGGTGCAGCTCTGTATATTATGTGCTGGGGTGGGTGGGGATGGAGGCAGTTCTGTATGTTATGTGCTAGGGGGGCACAGAGGAGGCAGCTCTGGTATGTTGTGGGCTAGGGGGGGTCAGCTCTGTATATTATGTGCTGGGGTGGGTGGGGATGGAGGCAGTTCTGTATGTTTTGTGCTAGGGGGGCACAGGGGAGGCAGCTCTGGGATGTTGTGGGCGAGGGGGGTGCAGCTCTGTATATTATTGGCTGGGGTGGGTGGGGATGGAGGCAGTTCTGTATGTTTTGTGCTAGGGGGGCACAGGGGAGGCAGCCCTGGTATGTTGTGGGCTAGGGGGGTTCAGCTTTGTATATTATGTGCTAGGGGGGCAGGGAAGGCAGCTCTGGTATGTTGTTGGGTAGGGGGGGTGGGGGGTGGGGTGGAGGCAGCTCTGTATATTATATGTGCTGGGAGAGTTGGGGAGGCAGCTCTGGTAAGTTGTGGGGGAGCAGTTCACCGACTTATATATATAAAACAATAAACAACCTAAGCTAAGTACTCCTCCATGTCCTTCATTTGACAGATGAAATGTGTATTGAGGGCAGCTACCCACAACAACAACAACACACACACTTTCTACCCTTACACTGCGGTAGTCTTGACAGCTAGCAAGAGCTGCATGTGAAACATATCAGACATATCTCTTGAATTCTGTCTAGGCCTATCATAGCTTCTGGACACATGATGGAGAATCTAGACTGCATTGTCTGGCACCAGACAGCCAACAATACAGCCGGTACCTTGTAAGAATAGCCAGACAGGTATTCTTAACATCCACAGGAATACAAACCTTTATAAATGTTTTAAAAACAATCTCACAACTTGCTAAATCTAATTTGAAGCAGATAAGATTTATTTGTATGGAACTTTCATATACCAGGGTAAAATTAAATTTGTATTGAAGGTAGTGTAACCTACTTCATTGGGCCACCCCCTACTTTCAGTCAGAGATTATGCGTTGTCCTGTAATAAGCCCACCCCCTACTTTCAGTCTGAGATGATGTGTTTTCCTGTAATAAGCCCACCCCCTACTTTCAGTCAGAGAGGATGTGTTGTCCTGTAATAAGCCCACCCCCTACTTTCACTCAGATATTATGTGTTGTCCTGTAATAAGCCCACCCCCTACTTTCAGCCTGAGATGATGTGTTTTCCTGTAATAAGCCCTCCCCCTACTTGCAGTCAGAGATTATGTGTTGTCCTGTAAGCCCACCCCCTACTTTCAGTCAGAGATTATGTGTTGACCTGTAAGCCCACCCCCTACTTTCAGTCAGAGATTATGCGTTGGCCTGTAATAAGCCCACCCCCTACTTTCAGTCTGAGATGATGTGTTTTCCTGTAATAAGACCACCCCCTACTTTCAGTCAGAGATTATGTGTTGTCCTGTAATAAGCCCAATCCCTACTTTCACTCAGAGATTATGCGTTGTCCTGTAATAAGCCCACCCCCTACTTTTAGTCTGAGATTATGTGTTGTCCTGTAATAAGCCCACCCCCTACTTTCAGTCTGAGATGATGTGTTGTCCTGTAATAAGCCCACCCCCTACTTTCACTCAGAGATTATGTGTTGTCCTGTTATAAGCCCACCCCCTACTTTCACTCAGAGATTATGTGTTGGACCCCTGCATAGACTTATTGCAGGATAAAGACAGTACTCTCACAATTATGTCAATAAGTGTGTGTCAGGTGAGATTTGTGTGTTCCAGTTGAATTCATCGGAGGATTTGACACCGTATCATCGTACCAACATTCGGAAAAGACCTCGCATCTAACCCTCCAGCCTCTATATGTGTATGTAGTGATTGGAGAAGGGACATAACTCTTGCTCTCTAATTTATGTCAGACTTGATCATATAGAAACATTTCCCAGAAAATATTAATCGAGATTTTATACGGATTATAACTGAGTTCAACCTAAGTTCAACATGCATTGAGTCATGAAAAGCAAGAGATTTCATCCATTTTGTATTTTCTCCCTTGAACAAGGTAGTTCATGATGTACTTATAGACCTGTCTGATGGACAGCATTTGAACTGCCAGATTTTCTACAGTATGTGAAACCTTGAACAGCATGGCAAATTTCTCACAGAGTGAATAAAGTTTAAATGACCATATCTTTATCAAGACAAAAATGCCTGTTACATAACTTATAAACGCAGTTGTATCATATGACAAGTCTGGATCATAAGGCAGATTGCATATCTACTTTTCTTGTTTAAAGTTATTGACAGCTATTTTGTATGTTCAGTAAGAAATAAGGTAATATGAACACTCAGGGTAACTACAAATACAAACAGATTTAAGTATGACTTATTACTTAAAGTTATATTTTTTCTCTTCATTAACTCATTCACCCCTGAAATTTCATAATGAACAATTCCAACCTTTGAATTAGAAGAGTTTAAATGTGTCTTCAGGGGTGAAAGAGTTAGTTCATTCCATATTCCAGGACGTATTTTTATGTGTTGGGTCACAATTAGGTATAGAAATAAGCCTTATTTGCAAACAGTTTGTTGTTTGTATACTGTATACCAGGAACTTTTTGCTGCAATTTAACCTTTGCCCTTTTCACCCTCTGTGTACAAACTCTGCTGTACATGTCATTACACAAAAAAAAGAAAAATAACACAGGGTGAAAATAGATTTTACAAGTAAAAGGTGAAAGGTTGACTTGGCTAAAGTTTCCCTGTATACTGTATATATATAGATGCAACCTGTCTGTTCATATTTCTGGTTTCTCATGATCATCAACACTTGTGTGCAGCCATGTTTAATGTTTCAGAATGAAAAATGGATATAAAATGTTGTCAAAAAACAGAAGATGTATTAAATGTATTAAATTGTAAATATTTAACCATGAAGCTGTACAATGTTGCATGTTGTAAAGATGCACCAAGTTATACACCTTTTCATCCATGACTCGAGTAATCGCTGAGTTTAGTTTGCATGTTTGTTTACAGTTCAGTGGAGTTTCATTTTCTTTTTATTAACTTTTTTCTTGTGTTTGGTTATAATTTTTTTTTATTAAATCTGCTCAATTACTTGAATTTGTTTCGTTCTACTAGCAAACCTAGAAATAAATCCCCACTAGTACTGTGTATAGATATAGAGGATTATATTTGAGAATTTATGATGCATTCAAATATAAACTCGAATAAAATTTATAATAGATCAAGTTGAATTTGAAGGTTTTAGAGTAGTGACAATCGATAAGGGCGTTTTTGAATGTCATAAGATAATATTTATAGGATTGCGATGATTTTGAAGATAATAGAATTTAATTGAAAAAAAAACGCATTAACAGGTAAGATAATTTTGAACAGTACAACACAAATCAACATAGGATTAAGATGATTTGGAAGAACACTAGAAAATATTGAAAAATAGTTGAGAAGTTTTTGAAGGTTATCATATTGATAAAAGGTTATTTTGAATATTATATGATATTGAAAAAGGGTAAAGACAAGGTTGAAGGTACAAAGTGGGTGGGTACTGTTAGTGTATCGCGATACAGGCAATCAAACAATTTGGTACGATACACAAGAAAGTATTGTGATACAATACGATATATATTGTTGCAGCCCTAGTTTAGATTAACAGTAACAATTGATCATGGCAAAGGTCATATGATGAAAGCTTTAATAAAAGCTCATAGATATGTTAAAATTACATATCGGGAAGGATTATCAGAATTTTCCTGCTTGCTCCCAGATAGGCTAGCTGTTGTGCTCGGGAGGTGGACTGGTGGCCGACAGGCAATGTAAGCAGGTTTAAGCCTTCTGTTAAAATCAGTTTGCTGTTAATTACGTTCAATCCATTTTTTAATGTTCTGGTTTCAGAATTCATTAAAATTGTGTTATTTAATGTTTTAACTCCTTCACCCCCTGAAGACACATTTGAACTCTTTCAATTCAAAGGTTGGAATAGTTCATCATGAAATTTCAGGGGTGAATGAGTTAATATACAGTTTGCTTTACCTACAACAATTCTAATTAATAAACAAGCTTGGGTTCCAAGTTCTGTCATATTACATACGACACATATAAAGTGTATGTGACCTGACTGTACTCGGTATTTATCCCACAATAAGCCCATGCCTGGTAATAAGCCCACAAATATGTAATACAGTACAATAGAAATGCCAGCAAATGCTATTTATTTGTCCGGTAATAAGTCCATTTCCTTACTTTAATTCAGGGATTAATATTAAGTTTACCCTCCTGGCTTATTGCAGAATAAATACAGCATTTTAGAATTTATATTAACTTAGAATTAAAATCTCATTGCAAGCTGACAGCCTGTAAATTGTTCAGATTTAAAAATAACCCTCTCATCAGAAGCTCTGCTATCAGATAAAGTCTGTTTGTTTTGTTATTCAAACTGAAACATAAAACACAAGAACATCTGGCGCACTGTATCACCCGAGAAATGATCTTATCTCTGACGTAAGTTCGTAACGTACAGAACACACAGTCTAGCTGTCTTCAAATATCTTGATTTCCTTGAGTCCTAGTTTCAGCTTAAATTTCAATTCAAATGTCATCTATAGATAAAAATCTGAAAAGTTTCTATAATATTTATGTTCATCGCATTAAAGAATTGTATGCCACAATGTAATGTATAATTATTTAGTCTATTGAATCGAAGGTCTCGTCTTGAGCAGTCGAACATTTGCTTATACCTATTGTATACCGGGACAGTTTTTTGCTGCAGTTAATTAATTTTCGCCTTTTTTTTTGCCCTTCATAGAATTTGTCATTACAGCTTACTGTAGTAAGTGATATAATAAACATAGTTATCAATTGTGAACCTAGATGAAATTAACATGGGATGTGGATTTTCTTGGCATAGGGCGAAAATTTGTCTGGTCAAAAGTTTCCCAGTATACTGTTTTAATGGGTGTAGGAGCTTTGAGGGAGTCGTTTTGTCGCAATATCCTTTAATTCAGACCTCTTAGACTTTGTCCTGTGTGTGGTACATTTATGCTTTCTTTAAGTCATTTATTTTACATTTCACTTTCCTGGTATTTCCTGTCAGGATCACATCTCACACACATTTCCGTTGTTTTGTGTGTTTTCAGCCTGTTTGTACCAACTTCACAAACATTTAACCCGTGGGGTCCCTCCCCCATGGGACAAAGGTAACACATGGCCCTTATGTTTTATAATGTACAAGTGATTATTTTTGAATTGGGAATTTTTCATTTCAATTATATGATCATTTTTGTTCATGAATCATACTACTTTTTTTTATAAAACTCATTTTAAATTGCTGTTGTACATGTGATCTGTTTGATTCTACACTAAAAAGAAGAAGAAAATTTCTGTACATCGTTTTACCTTTGCAGAAACTACATTTGTTTGTGCTACTTTCCTTTGGCAATTTTTTTTTATTAAAATTAATCATCCAATTAATTACTGCTGTTGGGTATATGATTTTTTTTCATATACATTATACATTTTATATGAGTTTAAAAAGATCAAAGATAATGAAAATAATTTTCAAGAATAAACACTTGTATATTTCAGAGGTCTCTGCTTTTAGTTCTATAAATAAATGTATCCTGTTTATTTGTTTGTGTAGGCTGCAGGTGATCAGGGTATTTTGATTTATGATTCAAAGGGACATTTCTTTTTTTAATCTTTCAATAAAGTCATGGTAAAAATTCAATACTGATGATATAATTAAAAACAATATAGGGGTCGACACTAATCCTTTAAGTCCGCTAGTCCTGGACTAGTAGATTTCAGCAAGGACTAGTGAATCACCTTACCTAACTGGTCCTTTGGACTTGTGAAAAATATGATTATAAAATAAGAACACTCCTTTTTGAAATTTAGAAAGCAGCTTAGAATAAGATATACTGCATGATAATTGTCAAAATAAAATCCTAAAACTACACCATTATTTGAAGTCCTGGGGACTGTCCCCTACTTTCGATGTTTCATGCTGTAGATTGCAATGTTTCCTTATCAGGACATCTGTGACTTAAGTTACATTGGCAAACGACTTGTAAATAATCTATTCAACTAGTCCGGTGGACTACTCAGCAGAAAAAGTTAGGGTCTAACCCTGTAATATGTTAAACCTTTTAAAAGAAAATGTGGGATATTTTTTTTATGAAAATGGAGAAGATTAAGTATTTAGTGAGGTAACTTGACACATACATGACTATCTATTAGTTTATATATGATACAATGTTATGCTGAGAATCAGTAATTATAAATACCTTGTTGACTATATACTCATTCAAAAACTATTATACAATGTATCACTTCCCCATTTACAGAGGACAGATCTTTCAACTGTATGAGTTGTTTCCCCTTTTTGAACAGGTATCTGAATTAACTCATTCATCCCTGAAGAAACATTTGAACTTTTCCAATTCAAAGGTTAGAATAGTTAATTATGGAATTTCAGGGATGAACGAGTTTATTTCTACATATAATGTAAAGAATTTTTGTAATTTATAACTGAACTTGTTAGAAAATTGAATAGAAATTAAGTTGTTTAGATAAATTCTATGTTTTTTGTTTAATCGGTTTTAAGATTTTCCCCCCGATATTAGTTTAAAAAAGGTGTGGTTACCTGTTAGGAAGGGAGGTAACTCATACAGTCTGTATTCTTTAAAGGGAAAGTATAGTTATGCATGTTTTAATGGCGAATGACCACCAGCTGTTGTTCCAATTTTTATATATAATGACTAACTAACAAAATAATTAATTCCGTTTTGTTTCTATGATCACCAATCAACACGATGTTGTAAATATTACAAATTAATTTATCCTTGGTATATCATGATCTGTAAACCAAACTTAAGTAATTCCGTCTTTGCATATTGCAGAGTTATCTTCTCTTGTGAGTAGGTATTGATTGTTACGTCATTGGTTTGTGTGAGGAAATTAATGTTGTTTTCTCAAAAATTGATGACGTTATCTCACAAACTAATGACGTAACAATCAATACCTGCTCACAAGAGAAGATAACTCTGCAAGACGCAAAGACAGAATAAGCCATACAGGATATCATTTGGAAAAAATTCTGGCTTATAAAATTCTAGAGCCTGGCTTGTCAGCTAGGCTTATTCCAGATACGAATATTATAATGAGGAAAAATAATTATTTATCTACATTATTTTTGAGTTTGAAAGTTTTTGCAATTCATGAGTGTGTTGTAGTAAAAAAAAAAATACTTCTTAAAAAGTTGGTTTACAGAACATATATATGTACATATGTATATAATACATGTAAAAAGTGCATATTGCTTATAACTGTTTAAATGAGAAATCTGAAAGTATGTGTATCTGTATTTGAGATGTGTCATGTTAAAAGCATGCATGCTACAGTATATATAGTACTAGAAAATCAAATATATTCTTTCATTTTTGTATAAACAGTAATGTACATGTATGTCTATTGTTTAACATTGCAAATAGTTGCATATTATATAAACGATTGACATGTTTGTTGTGTAAACAATTGTACATATACATGTACATTGTATACAAAAACATGTACATTGTATACAAAAACATGTACATTGTATACAAAAACATGTACATTGTAACAATTTGCTTATTCACCAAGGTATTTATTATATAGAACCAACTATACATGTACATGTACATTGTATACATAGCTATACACAAATATTATGTAACATTACCTGTTTCTATTGTAATTTCTTTCTGTAACCTTTCTCTTACTTTTTTTCCATGGCTCTCATCATATGAATTCATAAAACAGGACCAAATGTAAGACATGAAGAATGGAGTTGACTTTGACATTCATTATAATATTTTTATTTATTTATTTTTTATTTTATTTTTTTATATATTATTGATTTTCTGTTGGAAAAGTACATTTTTTTTTTTTCATGTTGCAGATTATTTTGTTTTATCAATTGTTATGTTTATTTGTCACTAACATCTGTATTTTGTTTGATTTTCACCCTATACGGTAACTCAATGGGATTGTTTGGACATTGTCCTGTTTTCCCATGATATATTTCTGCTATTTCATTGTGTCACATATATACTTCACAGTTCACTGTTGTAATGGTTATGGTGCCAGTAGTTGATAGACTAGCTTTTAATTTCCAACTTGAGGTTCCGTAACCCTCAAAATAAACTGGCTTTTAATTTTTCAACTTGAGTGTTTAAATATGGTATCTTAAAAATAATCCTCAAACACAACACAGTCTTAAAAAGTAACACTGTCAAGATTACCCTGTAGGTCCTAAAACTGAAAAGTGGTCTTAAAGGTGACACCTTGTCAAGGTAACCCTGTGGAACCTATAAAAACATGGTCTTGTAGCTAGCTAGGTAACCTATAGGATGTAAAAGTAAGACAGGGTCTTAGAGGTAACCCTATTATGCCCTATAGTAACATGACAGTAAAGGTAACCCTATTATGCCCTATAATAACATGACTGTAATGGTAACCCTATTATGCCCTATAGTAACATGACAGTAAAGGTAACCCTATTATGCCCTATAGTAACATGACTGTAAATTAAAGTTAACCCTATTATGCCCTATAGTATCATGACTGTAAAATAAAGGTAACCCTATTCTGCCCAATAGTAACATGACTGTAAATTAAAGGTAACCCCATTCTGCCCTTTAGTAACATGACTGTAAATTAAAGGTAACCCTATTATGCCCTATAGTAACATGACTGTAAAGGTAACCCTATTCTGCAGCACAAGAATCCCTACTTTGCAATATGTGTCAATGTTTTACGCAGTGGAATACGCAAAATACAAAAAATATACAGTTGATATAGAAGATTGAACAACTTATTAAGACCTGCAGCAACAAGCACATTAAATCTCTGTATAATGTTTGAAGGCCTAGGGTTTGGACAGCACATTAAATCTCTGTATAATGTTTGTAGGCCTAGGGTTTGTACAACACATTTCTCTATAATGTCTGTAGGCCTAGGGTTTGTACAACACATTTCTCTATAATGTTTGTAGGTCTAGGGTTTGTACAACACATTTCTCTATAATGTTTGTAGGTCTAGGGTTTGTACAACACATTTCTCTATAATGTCTGTAGGCCTAGGGTTTGTACAACACATTTCTCTATAATGTTTGTAGGCCTAGGGTTTGTACAGCACATTAAATCTCTGTATAATGTTTGTAGGCCTAGGGTTTGTACAACACATTTCTCTATAATGTTTGTAGGTCTAGGGTTTGTACAACACATTTCTCTATAATGTTTGTAGGTCTAGGGTTTGTACAACACATTTCTCTATAATGTTTGTAGGCCTAGGGTTTGTACAACATTGTATACTGCATGCATCCCCTGGGTAATTTAATCCCAGAACTATTTATGCTTAGAGAGGTTGACTCAATTAACTGTGAAGCATTTTCAACAAATGTAGCATCTAAATGATTGTGCAACTGACTTGTGTTAAATATAAAATTATACTGAGGTAATTATTTATTAAAATGTTAAAAAAAAACATGATTCAATGCCAATATTTGTAAAATATTTTTTTTTTCAAAGATGCCCACTGAATGCAAGAATGATCAAGACTAACAATGATTTATACAGTTTTAATGATGTGCATATATATGCATGCTAATGAGAATTTTTTTAAATTTCACATTTTTGGTAATGTCTAATTATTTAAAATTGATGATGTAAATATAATATATATATGCTGACTGAGATGAAGATCAGAGATTTAGGACTAATCAATTAACATTGGCTCATAACTTTGAACATCCCTAAAAATAAATAAATAAAATTTCAAAATATTGAGATTGTTGAATTTGCGTATTCCACTGCGCAAATCAATCTATTTTGAAAATCCAAATGTTGTAAAAAAAAATCCTTTTTTTCTGTCTTTACAGCAAGTCCTGCAAACGACGAACTGGAGTTTGTGAAGATGTACAAGGCACCGTCGCGTTCCTCGGGTGTTGACAACGGCGGCCGCAGTCAGGCTAGTTATTGTGATAACCAGACCTTTAATGGAGTGGCCAATGAATATCCGACCATAGAGAGGCCGCCTAGTTACGAGACAAGTATGCGGGACGGCACCGTCATCAACAATTATTATTCTACTGATCGTCAAAGTGTTCGCAGTCTGCGCAGCGTACGAAGTAAAGGAAGTACCAAATCAAAGTCAAACCGTACACGAGAGGATGCACGGCCAAAGAACCTACCCTGGGTTCAAATCACTCCCTCGTCCAGTAGTATGGACGCGCCGTTCAGACATTACCCCTAGAAACCAGAAGGTATTCACACATTGTATAGATGACAGTTAAGATTTGGGAATGGTTCATTGAAAAAATAAAAATGACACTTTTATCAATGGTAAAGGACATTGATCGTAAGCCAGCTCAGTCTACAAAATGTACATAAGAGTATTTCCTCTGTAAGGATATACGTTCAGTACTGTACCATGTGAACTACTTGGGCAGGTTTGGTACACAGTGAGGGTCAGTGGAACACTGATTAAGACATTCAGCTTTATTGGATCTCATGCCATGGTTATTGTACATATGAACCTTTACTATACCGACACCTGTCAACAACGGTAACACTGTTACATGGAACCTTTACTATACCGACACCTGCCGACAACGGTAACACTGTTACATGGAACCTTTACTATACCGACACCTGTCGACACCGGTAACACTGTTACATGGAACCTTTACTATACCGACACCTGCCGACAACGGTAACACTGTTACATGGAACCTTTACTATACCGACACCTGTCGACAACGGTAACACTGTTACGTGGAACCTTTACTATACTGACACCTGTCGACAACGGTAACATTGTTATGTGGAACAGTAAAACCTGGGCTTGACCTGTACATTATATTATCTTTCATCAACATATATGTCCAAAATCAATTGTGCATGATTATGACAATAATTGGTGCGAAGAAATAACGGATGAATTTGCAGAGCTCGAAGATGATCGATCGATGCATGGGAATATTCTTGATGACAAGCTTTTTGTGTATGTTCAACGGGCAAAATGTTATATTTTGTTATGTATGTGAGAAAGAAACTGTGGCTGTTGTTTATTGGACAAGCTTGTCCGTCCATTCAAAACAAAGATGTGACAGAGACAACCAAGGTCATCATAATATCAATCATGTGACCTCTATACTGTGCTGTGATTGGTCATGATTGGTACATGTTTTGTGCAAGTGTTTGTTTCTTTAGTAATAAGAAATAGTTTTGTTTTGTAGTTATTGGTAGGGAACTAGGAAAATATCATTTGTGTTTTGTTTCGTCTTGCGTATGAGCATTATATATTGAAATGTTTGTGATGAAAATGTACGTGATACAATGTAGACATGTTTGTTAATTACGTAAGTTTGATGTTCGTCAATTAATTACCGAAGTCTGATGACTTTCAGAAAATGACCAAAACTTGAAATATGGGGACAAATATAATACACAAAGAATTGTGTAATAATTTTCCATGAATTAATAAATATTATGAAGTTTTCTGTTTTTTATTGTCCAGTAATTCCAAACAAAATACAAAGCTTTCCTCTATCTGTACAAGTTAAAATCATTTGTTTTTGTTCATGCAGACCGACAAGGTCCTCTTCTGCTTGTGAATCAAAACATGTTTAGGGATTAGGCCTGGCAGACCTGTAGATGTGAATGTTAACTCATTCATCCCTACATATTTAAACTGGACTTACCCAGTCTTTGATTTCATAAGGTTCAAATGTAACTTTAGGGGTGAATGGAATAAAGCTTTCTAGTTTAACTCATTCACCCCTGAATACTCATTTAAACTCTTCCAATTCAAAGGTTAGAAGAGTTTATTATGAAATTTCAGGGGTGAATGAGTTAAGACTTGCCAGATAACAGTATCAGTCTCTGATCAGACCACTGGGTTCATTCCTGTTTCATAAATGAACCATTCAGATGATAGATCAAACTGGTCAAACCAAATTTTCTAAATAAATCAAGGGTATAAATAAAATAAAAAACACCCATAATGTAAGAATTCCATCGGTGAAAATCTTAAAATCATTAACCCATGAATACACATTTGAACTCTTCCAGTTCAAAAGTTGGAATAGTTAATTAAGAAATTTCAGGAGCGAACAAATTATAACTAATACCTGATTAAAGGGAAGTAACTTGTACTGTTGGAGGAGTTTTCTCCTTCAAACCTGTACAGGTAAGTGTTTGTGAAATTTACATTGGATAAGATCATTATTTGTTTGAGAAATTGTGTTCAATATTACAAGTAATGTACCAAATTTTTTTTGTAAAATGTACAGCATTCTTTCCCATTTTCTTCTCCAGTTGTCGTGAGCAGTTTTGATTTTTGAATCTGTCAACATTTTCAATTTTAACCTTTATACTGCGTCATATATAATAGCCTAATGATTTGAAGATTGTGACCTTTTTTGGTCCTTTTCTAAATCATTGTGCACATTAATCATCTCTTCCCTTGCTGAAAATTAAACAAAATCATCTGTTTGTTTCTAAAGTAAAAAAAAACACCTTCAGTTATATGAGAGATTTGATAGTACAATTCATTTGGTGACATCTTTTTCCCAAAAAACAACTATTGTATAATAAGTACAAATGTAATAGCTATAAAAGGAATTCCAATCCTTCTGTTAAGAATGGTTAACACTGCAGGATTTATCATGCATTACAGCTTTTAGTTAGGTAATATCTTATTTCAACCTGTATGCTTTATTTCATTCACCCCTGAAGACACATTTGAACCCTTCCAATTCATAGGTTGGAATAGTTCATTATGAAATTTCAGGGGTGAATGAGTTAAATAAAACCTGGAAGATTTGTTCACAAGAGCTAAAGTCTATATATGTAAATTAATATATTCAAAAGTTTCCTAGAATTGCATTGCTTCACTTCTTTGAAAGGAATTTGAAGATTCCCAAGATTGATTTAAAAAGAAGTTAAATTGAAGAAAAGCTGATTTCTGACACCAAAGTCAATATGGAAAGTGATTAATTATGCTCTCGCATTTCTTTAATAAATACGACAGCTTTAGGGAAATTTGATAGCTGAAAAAAGCCATATAGTGGTATACTTGATCTAGTGCTAATGGATGTTTGAATATCATAATGGTATATAGTGCTTCTCATCCCAATTTCTTGTTCACCATTTCTTAGAGAAGTGAAAAGCATTTATACCGTATTGTGATTAGATTTATTTTCCATCAAGCATATTAAAAGATTGAAGCATGCAGCTGCATTATATTATTATCAAAACTTTGATGAACACAAATACGTATTTATGGAACGGGAGGTTGTATTTCACAATCTGATACATATCTAAATATATCAGACAAATCCGCTACTACAATGCAAGACTTATGATTCTAAATCAAAGTTATTTATTTATTTGAACTCCCTTCATTATATTACTTTGTATTCGAGAGGAGTACTGGGTCTGGTATGGTATGTGTATATATGTACATGTATATCATGTGTTATATATAAAAAATCCTTTGTTTCTGTCTAATACTTTATAACTGGAAACATATATAGGTACATTCTTTGTTTGTTTAACACTTGAAAAATTATTAAGGCGATATATACATATTTTGAAGTTTACCGGTACATTTTACTATGAGTCTGTAACACTTCCTACGGTCAGCTGGAAGTTTTAGATATCTGACTGCTATATACCAGTAATATATTTACTGTACTAATAAAATATATAGTTGAGTTCTAATTGCAACCAAAAAAAACAAAAAACAAAAAAAAACAGAAATGTAAGTTGGGGATATCCTACACATGTATGTGTACTGAAATACTGGGAAATTTTCACTGCAGTTTAATTTTCGCCTTTTTCGCCCTCCGTAATGAAGACGTATTTATGATATCATAACAGGGAACATTTGTAATCAACATAATATACATAGTTATGAAATGTGAAGGGCAAATATAATATTTGGCAAAAAGGAATGTTACTGTTTGAAGGGCGAAAATTAGACTAGATGAACATTTCCAGGTAAAGTAGTACTGTATGATGATTACAGAACTTTATATGTTGGTCTTAATGTGACAACCACTTAAATGTCTGTACATGTATATGTCTGTACATTCCTTCTGCGGTCAATATTGGATGAAGAAAACAAACATAACCATTTCAATTCTCGTTACGGTAGCTTATTAACATTTCAATTCATCACTGAGAAAGAAAAGAAAAAAGTAAGATATTTTTTTTGGTTTTTCGATTTTGAAGATTTATGTTTATAAAATAGGTATTCAAATAATTCAGGTCTGATGTGACGATATGTCAATGGATGAGACGTATTAAAATACTGTTATGAAATAGGAAATGTGACAATGGAACCTGTTTGTGGTAATATATTCATAAGCAAGGTGGCAAACGGAAGGAGGGACATTTTATCAAGGTTAAAAGTTATTGGTTATTGATTTTTACCTGAAAGTGAAGTGATTATAAGGAAACATGCCAAAAGTGAAGTATGTTATTTTTGATTTTCCTGTTTTGTTTTTGCATGCTGTGATAAATGATATTGTGAATTGGTAAAGGTCAAACAGTTCGACATTGTTACTAATCGTAGGGTTTCGTTATGTATCCTGGTACATAATACTAGCCACTAAATTCCTTCTTAATTGACTGGGGAAAATTTCTCTTTAGCTTTTTTGGTAGAGCGCAACACCATTAAACAAGAGGTCTCGGGTTCAATCCCCATTGGATACATTTTAAGGAGAGGCAAAAAAATCATAAGCTTTGGTCATTTAATATCTATGAAACATAATTTTATATAGGATCTTATATGGGTTTCCATTTCATATGTGATTTATAGTCAAGTCTTCGGAATTTTTCAATTTAGCGAGCCTCTGGCGACAATTTTCATGCAATCTTGAAATGAAAAATGCCACCGTTTTGACTCCTGTGCGAAAGTCTGTGACATCATGTACTTGTCCTTAAGGTGTGACGTCACAATTGAAACAATTGAAACTTACAACCAATCACAGGGCTGATAGGTCAATACGCAAAAAAAAAATGACATTGGTATATATTCACTGAATAACACAGTGCATTATGTGATAAATAAAAGTTTAAATGTAACAATTTATCTATTTAATTATTTCGTTTTTATTAACCGGTTAATGTCTGTTGGAGAAGGGAGTGGTGGGTATATACATCTGTATATTGTGTTCAGTCCGCAGACTTCTTCAGTTACACGGGTGTAGTTCCAGTACAGTGTACATACAAGTCCACACAAAGGTATGATAATGAGTGGATTTCATTTCTGAATGCTTTATGATTTCATCCATTTGTATATAAGAATTGAAATCTAGAACCTGTGTTGTGACGTACTGCACTGCTATTATCTTCAGTGATGTTTACATAATCATGCCAATTTAAACTTTCAAAACAAGGATCAGTGTTCCTATAAAAAAAAAATGTATTCCTAGGATAGACAAGTACATTCTAAACTCTGTACAAAGTTTTGTTTTTCATATTTCAAATAAATTTTATAAGTAACTGCCATTTGAACATCTGAAAGTAATATTTTATCAATAGAGGTATATGCCTGGATTTTATCTCTTTTGAAATATAATATCATCTCCAATTATTATATATGATATCAATTTAGACATGATCACTCTGTCATATCTTGTAACAATCACCATTTGTAACTTGTTTGATTTTATAATACATCCTGATACTTGCCTGATAAATCACGAAATTAAATTGGAGATTTGAGGTATTTTGTAAAGGAAGGGAGATAACCCAGCACTTATTATGGTGTATAGATTTAACATTATATACTTCTTACCATTCTGTGTTTGTCACTTTTTGTTTTCTTCACCTCTTAGATGAAGTGTATTTGTTTGTGACTGTCTCATCACCATGGTGACAGTTATACTGTAGCTAATTAATAATTTGATGTAAATAAGAAAATGTACATTTCACTACCTGTAGAATAGTGATTACATTGATATGTTGAAAAAGATCATTTTTATTTTAAAACGAACAAAAATGAAATTAAAAATTGTCTGAAAACAATGACTTGTTTATGTTTCTCTTTTAATGATCTCAACTTGTTGCATACAGCAATATTTTTACTTGAAAATCGCTTAGTAGTAGCTCGGAATTTCATTAAATGTCAAATTTGCCACAAAAGATAGATGAAATTGGTAATATCCTACTCCACAAGTATATAAACTTTATTTATTCTTGCAAACAAAAAAGAAAAAAAGGGTTATAGGAATCACTTTTGTTGGCCCGGATTGAAGCGGAGTGGGTCTTAATGTGAAAGGAAACCAAGGTATCCAGAGGCAACCCACGTGGTCGGTCAGGTGACCCTATACCTTTTCACTTCCGGTTTGGGAAACAAAACTCTGTTGGTTGTTGTGCCACCCGGCCACTGTAAGTCGTTGGAAACTAAAATGTAACGCACCACCGTACTTAAGATGCAGAAGTACCTAGATCATTTCTTATATCTATTCTAAACCCATGGCTTCTAC